TATTGTGATTTTTCATCCTTCTTGTGCTCTCACCATCTCAACCAACTTGCCTACTTTGATGAGGCATCCCATTGTACCCCACTTCAATAGTATTACAGGACTTCAGTAGTATGGAAAGTAATCAGAATATGAAAGTATCTGATTCAAAGATATCTAGCAGATAAGTAAGAAGATTAATCATAATGAACAAGTTCATCAGATCTCTGGTAATAAGCATTCTTATATACATGATGCTTCTCTGGTGATAGTTCCACTAAGCTGTTCTATTCATTCTACTGCAATACATTTGCTATGTCCTCCAATCAATTCTATCATGCTCAGTGCAATCAGTCAGCTTATCAGTTCTATCACTGATCACATGATCCTCACCTTAAGGTTCTTCTGCAACAGTCTATAATTTCATCTTGTCAGGTGTTATTCAATTATTCTGTGTGTTCTGTTATTATACCACAGAATTCATAACATTATCTTCTTCTTTTACAGCATGTTGTTCTCAACCACTCTGTCTGTTGCTTTTTAAAGTATAAAAGAGTGTTCTCTCTTTCTTGAATTTCTGGTTTTCTCTTGTCTTTCTTCTTAGTAAGTATTCTCATGATTTTCTTTCACCATGTCATCTGCTTTTAATGTTTGCAAGAATAGTCTTCTTTCTGCTATTGAGCAATCTGAGTTCATGATGCTTTTTTCTTGCTCTCAGTACTCTTTATTAGATAAGACTTGCTTAAAATCAAGTTATTCTTTTCAGTATAGCAAGTGTGTTCATGCTGGTCACTATTGCATTCACAATAATGATTCTTCTGCCATTAATTGACAGAAATTATTTGAGACTCAGAACAAGCTCAAGTATACTGAGTAAGAAACTCTCTCTCATCTTTTTCATCTTCAAAAACAGAAAAAGCTGCTTTGTGACTGGACTGGCAAATTTCTTGAATCTGAGTTGAAGTCCATGGAGAACTTGGAACATCTTAAGAAGAAGAAGAAGAAAAGAGTAGCTGAGCAGGCAGAGATTCAGAGTCTGCTTGCTTCATGAAGTAATCTTTCTTTCTCAGATTCTCTTCCAGTTGTCTCTGATTCATTTGTTAATGCTTTGCTGGATGAGAGCATCATCAATAATACATTATAATAATTGTCTGGACATTCCTGAGGTTTTCTGTTGATTCCCAGGTGTTTTTCAAGATATCATACTCTTTTCATTTCACTAGATAGTGAAGTTTTCTACTGATCTTCTGATGATCTAGTATTTATTCAACTTTATATTCCTGTTCTTCATCAATCTCTGTGGGCATTTCTTTAGTGTGTGACAGTGCTTTCTCCAATAATAAGACATGAAATACTGGATGTATTCTCATCTTTTTAGATAGTTGGAGTTTGTAGTTAACTTTTTCAATCTGCCTTGTGATTTTGTATGGTCCCAATTTTTTGAAATCAAGTTTTTCACTAGGTCTTTTGATTTTGATATTCTGTCAAATTAGAAATACTTTTTCCCTCTCTTTCAAGATTAGTGCCTTCTGGCATCTTTTGTTGTAGTAGTGTTTCATTCTTTTGTTCAGGAATTCAATATCTAGTCTCATCTAGTTCTGCAGTTCTTATAGTTATGTTGCCATGAGTTCTGCTTCTTGAGCTTTTTGTTGTGCAATTCTTGGTTGTTTCTGTATTTCTGGTTCTCTGCTGTAGTTTATATAGAATGATGTCATCTCTGTAGTGGCATTCTTTGCTCTGTTGTAAGTCAATTATACCATGAACAGTAGTGTAACTCAATTATTCTGTTGATAGTTGATATATTCTTGCAGATATTACTTCAAGATTTGGTTTAATCATTCTGTCTGTTCATCTGTTTGTGAATGGTAGACTGTTGACATTTTTTGTTTAATTTCCAGTTGTGCCATTAATGTCATCCAGAATTTGCTTGTGAATCTGATATCTGAATCTGTAATTATCTCTTCTGGTATGCTGTGGTTGGTGAGTACATTTTGTAGTACCACTATTGCTGTATCTGATGCTGTCATTGCCTCTCTAAACAGTATAAAGTATCTATATTTTGTCAATCTGTCAGTAATCACTAGTATTGAGTTGTACTTCTTTTCTTCTATATTCTTTGAGTTCAGGAGTTTCATGATGAATTCCATCACTATAGATTTCCATGGTTCTCACAGTTGCAGTATTGGTTGCAGTTTCCCATATAATCAGTGTTTGTTGGCTTTGCTTCATGCACACATCTTACATTCTTTGACATATTGTCAAATATCTGTCCATATTTCTGATCAATAGTAGGTTCTTATAATTCTTTCCATTTGTCTTGTCAGTCTCAAAATGCCCTGAAGTGACTGTATCATGTTCTTGTACTATTACTTGTTTTCTGACCTCTTTAAGTACATATATCAGTTCATGATATAGTATCATTCCATCTTTCTTCTTGAAGTTTTCATTTTCTTTGTTAATCTTTCTTGTGTATTCATCTTTCTTCATTGCTTCTTTGATTTTTTCTTCAATGTCTAATTCTTCTGTAATAATTCTTATCACTCTTAATATTTGTTGGTCCAGAATCATATTCTTTATTCCTTCCAATTCTTTAAAGAGTGTTCTTGAGTCTTGATTTTTTTTCATCAGATCTGGTCTTCAGCTTAGCATATCTACCCAGGCATTCTCTGTGCCTTTGCAGTGTCTTATCTTAAAGTTATAGTGTACTAGTATGTCTGTGTACCACCTGGCTTGGCTTCTCATAAGCTCTTTTATCATTATAAAGTATTGCAGATTATTGTGATCTGAGATGATTTCTGTTTGAAGTTGGTTTTCTTGCAGTTTGATTCTTCATTTCTTCAGTAACACTACTATTACTAGTAGTTCTTTATCATGAATATTATAGTTCTGTTCAGCTAGTGTCATTGTTCTTGTGTAGCATGCAACTAATCTCAGTCTTTCTTGTTCATCTGGTTGTTGTAGTCTTCCTGCTATCACACAATTCAATGCATTCATATTAATCACACATCTTTTTATTGAATTATAGTGTCTTCTTATTTCTCCTTTCTTGAATTTGTCTTTTATCACTTCAAATGCTTGTTGGCACTCTGTCATTCATTTGAATAGTTTGTCTTTCTTGAATAGCTGTGTGAGCAGTCTCACTTTCTTTAAAAATCCATGTATGAATTGTTGGTAATAGTTCACTAGTCTATAGAACATCTGTACTTCTCTGACCTCTCTTGATGTCAGCTACTGTAGTATCTCATTAATTTTTTCTGGCTCTATTCATATTTCTTTCATTGACACAATTTGTTCAAGGTATCTAATTTCTTTTTTATGGAAGTCACACTTTTTTAGTTTTGCTAGTAAGTTCTACTTTTGTAGTTTTTCTAGTACTTTCTTGATCTTCACAGTGTGATCCTTTTGATCTCTTTTGATGTATATAATCACATCATCAAGGTATGCAATGACAAAGTCATCCAGGTACTCTTGCAGTACATTGTTGATTAGTGCTTGAAATGTCACTGGTGCATTTGTGAGTCCAAATAACATGATGTTGTACTTGTACAGTTTATATCATGCTCTAAAAGCTATCTTCCATTCATCACCTTCTTTGATTTGTATCTGATGGTAGGCATCTTTGATGTCAATTAGAGTAAATCATGTTACTCCTCTCAATCTGTCTTGCACTTCCTCAATCAGTGGTATTGAGTAACAGTTTTTGACCATAATGCTGTTTAACTGTCTATAATCTACATATAGTTATAAGGTTCTGTCTTTCTTTGATGCAAACAGTATTGGGTATTCTGCCAGTAATATCAACTCTCTTATATAATCTTTCTGAAGATTGTTCTTGATATATTTCTTCACTTCAGCTGATTCTTTTTCATTCAACCTGTATATTGGCAGTTTCATCAGTTGTTTTCCTTCTTGTAGCTTTATCTTGTGGTTCCAGAGTTCATGCTTTGATAAGCTGTTGCTCTGATTTCTTTTCCTGAATATATCAATATATTCCCAAAATTCTTTTGGTAGAGTCTTTTTGATTTCTTCATTCTGGTCATTCTTTCATACTTACAGCTGTGCCAAGTCAATGGAGTTCTCTGTAGTTTGATCCACTTTTTCATTATGAGTCAGGTTTTCATGAGTTTCTTTAGTGTTGATTAATCATTCTTCATGTGGTATCTTCTGATTAATCTGACTTATTACAGCCAGTATCTTGCTTAAGTTGTTTCTGAGTGTGAGTCTTCAATCATGGCTTTCTGGTTCAAGAGAATATCTAGAGTTTGTCAGTCTTATCTTTTCTTCTCACCAGTTAATTTCTGGATTGTGCCATTTCAATCAAGGGTATCTCAAGACTATATTATAGTTCTCTAGATTCATCACTTCAAAACACACTTTCTTGTGATGTTGTCCTATTTTCATCTTAATAAGATATATCTCTTCTTTAACTCTATTCAGGGTTCCTCCTTCCAGTTCTGATAACTGGTAAGAGTACTTCTTCATTCACTTCACAATGCCAGCTCATTTAGTGAATCTTCTGTCAATAAATAGTCTGGTTGCTCCTGAGTCCACTAAGATTATTGCACACTTTGATTCAAGTAAGGTCACCATAACTCTGAGATAACAGATTTATTCATTAGTGACTAACAGTTTTGCTTGCTTATTCATGCGGCTTACAGACTTTTATTTGTGGCAGCCTGCTCATTTCCCAAATCAACAAGAATTATCTTAAGTGCTTGTTTGTATATTGTGCAATTTTCTTTGTTAGTACACCAGATTTTGTGTATTCTTCACACATACTTGTTGTCTCTGCATTCTGCACAGGTTTCATATCCTGCTAAGTCATGCAGGAATCTTGTCATTTTCCAAAATCTCTTGTTTTTGTAGAATTCACATTAGCATTCATACTCAAATTTATCATGACAAGAGTGGTCTGATTCTTCCATCTCTTTTTGTTTTTCACTCCAGTACTATTCACATATTATTATCACTAACAATCTGTTGTTTTCTTCACATGTTGTCTAGTGCAGTTGGTTGCCTTGGATTCATAATGTTTTTGCTGTTAGGTTGTCATCATTCTGGTTATCTTCATCTTTCTCATAGTAATTCCACAGATAAATGTTAAACCAATCAAATACTGCTTCATAAAGATATGATACTGCCATTATTACCTTGTTCTTGTCACTGTTAAGTTCTTTGCCTTTCATATCTATATAGATGTGTAGTTGTCTCAAGAAAGCTTATAGTTTTCCTCACTCACTCTTGAAAGGTTCTGGTGGATTGACTTTGACTTTATCTTTCTTTTTCTGTTGTCTGGTAGATGAGATGATTATAACCTGGGTCTCAAGCTGCTTATTATAATCTTTCAATTTACAGTTCTGCTCTTCAAGTTTCTCAGTAATCTGTTTAAGCTGCAAGATCCTATTTATAAGATCTTGAGCATTGACTGCTGGTGCTATGAATGCAGACATAGTTCCTATATTCTGTTAGATCTTGACATGAGATGGAATTGTATTTTTATTTTTTGACATGATACAGAAAGTTCTTTTTTTGTACATAATCTCTGAGATCTCAGGTGTATTCTCTTCTGAGTCAGGGGTAATCAATGTGTTATGTATTTGCATGACACTCTAGAACCTTTAAGATCAAAGAGTATTACAGTAAGTAACAACAGATTGAGTAGTAATTAATAGTTCAATGGTGCTTCAGTTGAGCCAGCAGTCTTGCTCTGATAACAAAGAGTTTCTGTGCAGGTGTAACAGAGTCAGGGCAAGACTATAGAGCCTTCTCAAAAGTAGCAGAATCAGATACAGTCATACAGTATTACAGGACTTCAGTAGTATGAAAAGTAACCAGAGTATAAAAGTATCTCATTCAAAGGTATCTAGCAGATAAGTAAGAAGATTAATCACAATGAACAAGTCCATCAGATCTCTGATAATGAGCATTCTTATATATATAATGCTTCTCTGATAATAGTTTCACTAAGCTGTCCTATCCATTCTACCACAATACATTTGCTATATTCTCTGATCAGTTATATCATGCTTGGTGCAATTGGTCAGCTTATCAGTCCTATTACTGGTCATGTGATTCTCACCTTAAGATTCTTTTACAACAGTCTGTAATTCCATCTTGTCAGGTATTATTCAATCATTCTGTATGTTCTGTTGTTGTGCCACAGAATTTATAACAAAGTTCCAGTACAGTCTGTCAACACAAGCATCTGAAAGTAACATTTCAAGTAAAATTAAAAAAAAGAAGATAGCTTACTGCAAGTTCTGGCTGAGAGAAAACTGTATTTAAGAAATGAAATACTAGTTTGAATATGTTCCAGCAGAAAAGAAATATATTCTGCAGAATAAGTGTAGCAAAAGTATGGGCTCAAGAGTTCTATTCTATGACAATTTTCTTGATCATGACTGACTGGAGTACAGAGTTAGATTATATATATAAGTGTCCTGTCTGCAGAAAGACAACAATATCCACAATCTTTCTAATACTATCAAACTGCATCTATTACATTTATTCAAGTAAGAAACTTTATTTAATGATATGCTTGTTGCAATACTAATACTAATAAAAACTTACAGAGTGCATCATAACTATTTAATAATAGAACAAGAATAGATTGCTCTAAATATCAGACAATAACCTGCTGAAAAACAGAGAATGTTGCTCACTGTATTGTTTTTCTATCTATTTTATTGTGATGATCTCAGTCTGGCCACTTACTAAAGATGAGCACTGAGCTGTAATCAAGTAGTATCTGAGATATCAAAAGAAAACACTGTGCTGGTTCTTTGAAGCCAGCTTCAGAAAATGAAGACAGAATAGATATAAGACAGAGTATCTTTATTATTTCTGGGGGAACAGATATTACTTTAAGTATCAACTTCCTGATTTAATCACTTTCTTTCACTTCAAATAGTCTTTTGTGCAGGCAATAATGGACTGATGACAGAAGACAAGAAGAGAAAAGATACTAGAAGTGTCTTCAGAGATAACTGGTGTTTAGTCAATTCTAGACATCTATAATATTGACTCTGATGAGGATTTAGAGAATGGAATACCCATGACTGAAGAAGAAGATTAAGAGCTGGTAATCATAAGACAGACTTTCTCAAGAGCTGAGTTACTTACATGGGTTGTTGATAGAGAATTTGAATAAATATATTAATGTGCACAGCTGGAATAGAAGAGACAGGCACAAGAAAATCATAAAGAGCAGCTACTTCAGCTATATCAATTCTGGTAGTGCAGCACCAACAGTGAAATTCAAAAACCAATAGCTAATGCAGAGATGAAAATTGATTCTAATTTCAAAATTTTGTACTTGTTTATCTTTCTTAATTTTCTTGATACAGCAGGAAAAGTAACTCTAAATGTTTGCCATCAGTTTTGACTATCAACTTTGACCATTGTCAATTTTGGCTGTTGTCAGTTTTGACCACCATGGCCAATTTTGGCTGTGTCAATTTTTACTATCATCAATTTTTACAGTCAATTTTGGTGTCATCAATTTTGACCATCAATTTTGGTGTTGTCAATTTTGGTGTCATCAATTTTGACTGTCAATTTTAGCATCATCAATTTTGACCATCAATTTTGGTGTCATTAATTTTGATGTTGTCAATTTTGACCATCAATTTTGGCCATCAATTTTGACTGTCAATTTTGATTATTGTCAATTTTGACTGTTGTCAATGTTGACCATCATCAATTTTGACCATCATCAATTTTAACCATCAATTTTAGTGTTGTCAATTTTGACCATCATCAATTTTTACTGTCAATTTTGACTGTTGTCAATTTTTACCATCAATTTTGGTGTTATTAATTTTAATTGTCAATTTTGGTGTTGTCAATTTTGACTGTCAATTTTGGCCATCAATTTTGGCATCATCAAATTTTGGCTATCAATTTTGGCATCATCAAATTTTGGCCATCAATTTTGGCTGTCAATTTTGGTGTTGTCAATTTTGGCATCATCAAATTTTGGCCATCAATTTTGGCTGTTAATTTTGGTGTTGTCAATTTTGGCCACCATTAATTTTAACTGTCATCAATTTTGGCATCATTAATCTTGGCTGTCAATTTTGGTGTTGTCAATTTTGGTGTTGTCAATTTTTGCTACTATATTCAGTTTTGACCAGTTTTGTCTTTTGGTAAAAGTCACTACCACTAAGCAAAAAATCCCTTGCATGAGTTGGTTTAGAGTATGAAATCTTGACAACAAAAATGAACTCTTGTCTGAGGTTGGTGTTGAATAATTATTTTTTCAACTCAACAAAATTTTGTGACAGAAATATTATCAAATTCACAACAACATTATACATCTCCTGCAATCTCAATAGACAAAATTAAACCACAATTTTTGAATAGCAAAAAGATCTTACTGAGAGAATTCTTTTCGTGATAATTTTAATTGAAACCATCTACTGGTTGTGGAGAAAAAGGCCATGTAATGGAAATTACAAATTGAGTTAGTGTGAAAAAGGACACTAATCTAATTTAAATTTCCATTACATCTACATTTTTGTCAATAACTCCACAACCATTCATTGTACAGATATAAGAGTACCACCATTTAAATTGTCTCTCTGAGCTGCTTAGAATGATCTTATTTTTGTTAAAAAATGTCAACTTTTGAATGTTATGTTTTAGTCACTATTTGGCCTATAGATTACCTTTTATATTTGTGCTAATAACTTCACAACCATCCATTGTACAGACTTCAGAGTACCACTGTTCAAATTGTCTTTCTGAGCCTGTTAGAATAACTCTATTTGCATTAGAATATATCAATTTTTGCATCTTATGTTTTACTCATTATTTGGTCTATAGATAATTTCCATTACTTTTTATATTTTTGCCAATAACTCTACAACCATTAATTGTACACATATGAGAATACCACCTTTCAAATTGTCTCTCTGAGCTGCTCAGAATGACCCTATTTTTATTAAATAATATCAACTTTTGCATCTTATGTTTTACTCACCATTTGAACTATACATTTTATATTTTTGCTAATAACTCTACTACTATCTACTTCACAGATATAAGACTATCTCTGTTCAAATTATCTTACTAACCTGCTTAGAATGTTCTTATTTTCATTATAATATATTCACTTTTGCATCTTATATTTTACTCACTATTTGCTTTATACAGCTAACCCTAACTTTAACCCTAATTACTTGATTTTCTGTTACTTTTTTATATTTCTGCCAATAACTCTACAATCATTAATTGTAGACATATGAAAGTACTACTGTTCAAATTATCTCTCTGACCTGCTTAGAAAAACTCTATTTTTGTTAAAATATATTTACTTTTACACCTTATGTCAGTATCAGTATTTGCTATATAAAATATATGTATTGGCTAATAACTCAATAACCATCTATTATATACATATAAAACTACTACTGTTTAAATCATCTTTCTGATCTGCTTATAATCACTTTATTTTTCTTACTATATATTCACTACTTGTGGAGAAAAATCTATCTTACAGAAATTACAATTTTAATTACTGTAAAAAATAACACTAATCTATTTTGAATTTTTGTTACTTCTATATTTTTGCCAATAACTCTACAATCATTAATTATGTAAATATAATACTATTATATCTTAAATCATCTCTTTAATCCAGTGCTTAAAATATTCTTATTTTTGTTACAATATTGTTATGTATTCATGTGACACTCTTGAGTCTTTGAGGTTGAAAAGTATCACAGTAAGTAATAACAGATTAGAGTAGTAATTAATAGTTCAATAATGCTTCAGTTAAGCTGGCAGTCTTATTCTGATGACAAAGAGTTTTCATGCAGATGTAACAGAGTCAGAGCAAGACTATAAGATCTTCTTAAAAGTAGCAGAATCAGATACAGTTGTACAGTATTACAGAACTTCAGTAATATAAAAAATAATCAAGATATGAAAGTATCTGATTTAAAGATATCTAGTAGATAAGTAAGAAGATTAATTATAATGAACAAGTTTATTAAATTTCTGATAATAAGTGTTCTTATATACATGATGCTTCTCTAGTAATAGTTCTGCTAAGCTGTTCTATTCATTCTACTGTAATATGTTTGCTATGTTCTCTGATTAATTCTATCATGCTTGATGCAATCAGTCAGCTTATCAGTTCTATTGCTGGTCATGTGATTCTCACTCTGAAGTTCTTCTGTAATAATCTGTAATTCTATCTTGTCAGATTTCATTCAATCATCCTGTGTGTTCTGTTGTTGTGCTGCAGGATTCATAACATAAGAGTAAAAGTGTTATAAATCCTGCAGCACAACAACAGAATACACAGAATGATTGAATGAAATCTGACAAGACAGAATTACAGACTGTTGTGAAAGAACTTTAAGATCATGTGACCAGTAATAGAACTAATAAGCTGATTGATTGCACTAAGCATGATAAAATTAATTGAAGAATATAGCAAATGTATTGCAGTAGAACAGATAGAACAGCTTAGTGGAACTATCATCAGAGAAGCATTATGTATATAAGAATGCTCATTACCAGAGATCTGATAAACTTATTTATTGTGATTAATCTTCTTACTTATCTACTAGATATCTTTAAATCAGATACTTTCATATCTTGATTACTTTTCATACTATTGAAGTTCTGTAATACTGTATAACTGTATCTTATTCTGCTACTCTTGAGAAGATTCTATAGTCTTGTCCTGACTCTGTTACATCTGCATGGAAACCCTTTATCATCAGAGCAAGACTGCCAGCTCAATCAAAGCACCATTGAACTATTGATCACTATCTCAATCTGTTGTTACTCACTGTGATACTCTTCAACCCCAAAGATTCCAAAGTGTTACATGAATACACAACAAAAAGATTTGGTATTTGTTTCTCAGTTTTGTAGAACCTCTGGACTGATAACTTCTGTGAAACATCATTATTGGTCTAGTCTCTGTAAAGCTCAAGAACATTGTGTCTTGAAGTGACATGAATTCCTGCACTCACTTGGGATGGCTCGCCTTGCAGGGAGGTAAAATTGACATTCAAGTGCCATATCCAGTCTTGAGGCCAAGTTGTGACCGGACTCCAGTAGCAGAGAGTGCTGGATATGGCTCTGCATGTCTTCAACGCCGCAGCAGCTTCATGGGCCCCAAAGCATTTAGATTGAGAGAGCACATATGCTTCATTGCTGTCTCTCAGGCATCTGGAAGTGACATGGGCGAGATGCTCTACACAGTAGACAATGAGAGCCCCCAAGAAGTTGCTCTCAGGCCACAATAGCAGCTGTGATTGAACCAATTCTCTACATGGATCAACACAGTGATGCTTGGTGATAGGGCTGACCAGTTCATAGAGTATTGGATGGAGTGCACTTAATCCTTTATGTGCTGAGTGTTGTGATACTGAGTTTTAGGGAGGCTTGCGACGCATGCTACCCCAAAGCCTGATTAACTAGGTTAGTTGTTAAGTAACTAACCAACTTAACTTGCTCCTAGCTACTTTTGTGGAGCGGCAGCTAACTAACTAGTTAACTACTGCTGAATCTGTTACCATGATTGCTTTCTCCAGATCAGCCTGGATTGCAGACCTGGTTCAATCAGTCTCCCAACACAAGAATCCTAAGTTGCTGAGCATGGCACTTTGATGAGGGTGACTGGCTGGAGCTGTGTCACCTGCACCCCCCGGTCATCTCAATTGCACATTGGAGATTACAAGGAGCCTGGTTTCCCACTTGTCCATCATTTCTAAGCAGGGTTCTAGGGTACCCAATCACCTCCTGTGGCCTTGGGCGCTCTTTCAGTGTTAGATGGGCAGCCTCACTGCTCAGTGATAACACCTTACAAAGGCTGGTGACATTGTTGAATTGAACATAATATAGATAATGCTGCACGGCATTGATTCCCGCCCATTCTGGATGCACTAGACTATTGCTTTTGGAGTGTCACCTACTGCTGCCTCCGCCATCATGAGCAATGTGATCAGGTCATTGTGTGTTTTTGCCCATTCATAGCGCGTGTTCAATCAGTAGGTGTAGTGGTTGAGAATGTAAGCAAAACCTAGGTGACCTGGAGAACATGGTTACTGTTTTCCCTGTAAACAAAGTGCAGCGGTTCATATCATCCAAGGGCCATGTCCGCTCAAACCTCCTACTCGGCAGGATGGCGATGTACCAAAGGCAGTACTCTCTCCCCACAGAGACAGATGAACTACCAAATGGTGACAGTACCCATTGCTCCATATAAAGTGTGGAATTGCTTATTTATATACTCATACTAGTAACACATGTTCAGATATTAAAAGGACAGGACTTTAATCCCCAATCTTTCCCGGCTCAAGCTACTAGCGGTCAAGAGCTTGGGACTCGCACTAAATAAATTACCCCGAAAACGCATCGGTTAGCAACAATGCGGAGAACATGCGAAGGGAGCTTAAAGGATATGGATCTCACCATCTCAAAATACACGCCTCGCTTTCGTATCAGGGACCTGTGGTCGCCGTATTCCACAATCTCTGTTCCCTTTCGTTCGTCTCCCTTCTCCCCATCTCCACGTGCCTCTCCAAAGACAAAGATAACATCGGCATTCTGGACCGTTGCCAGGCGGTGGGCAACAACGAGGACAGTTCTACCCTTCGCCGTCCGCTCGATCGCGGCCTGGACTTGTTTCTCGGATTCAGAGTCAAGGCTGGAGGTAGCTTCGTCAAGAAGGAGAACATGGGGTCTGCGCATGAGTGCCCGCGCAATAGACAGGCGCTGCTTCTGTCCCCCGGAAAGAGAAAGGCCACGATTTCCGACCTCAGTCGCATACCCTATACTTTTCACTTAGCCGTGCTCGTTGAATAAGGCTATAACACATACCATCCGGTAGGGACTGGATGAAATCGTGGATTTCCGCATCCCGACATGTCTGGTATAGTTCTTCGTCGGTTACCGTTGACCGATCCACTCCCAGGAGAACATTATCTCGGATGGAACCTAGGAAAATAAAGTCAGTTTCCGCACACTACGAGTCTCTGTAAGGCCGTCAAAAGCACCTTGATACATGATTGGTTCTTGGGAAACTAGTGATAAAGCGCTACGATAGTTCTTCATCTCCAAAGTCTGCAGCTCAACTCCGTTAATGTAAATAGAGCCTGCTTGGTAATCGTAAAATCTGTTCAACGTGCTTAGGGATCGAATACTAAAAGGATTTCGCATAAATACTCACCTTTCAAGTATGGAGATGATAGATGTCTTTCCGCAGCCTAAAATAATGTTAACAAATAAATGGCAGCCAGTCTGTAGGATGCAATTCTATACCAGAAGGTCCAACAAACGCAGCAAACTGTCCTCTTTCAACCTATAGGCCAATTAGATCCGACTTCATCACAAGCGTGTTTATAGGTATGTGATATTTACCGTTAAGTTTAAGTTCCTGAAAACAGGGACATCTCGCGTTGGGTACTTGAAGCTCACAGATTTGAACTCTATTCTGGCACCCCCTTCAAATTCAACACGCGCATCAGGCGCCGAAGAGGCCTCGCTTTCCGAGGGCCTGAGGCTTATTATCCTATTGGCGGCCGCAGATGCTTGCGCCATATCTTCGTACCTCTATGTCAGTCGTCCTACCACATCCAGAATTTTCCTTTTCTTTAAAACATAACCAAAAAATAAAAATAAAAAAGGTCCAGGACACATACTTGGAGTTAAGCTGCCAAATTGGCCGGAGGCTTGGCCACCCTGTTATCATTGTTAGAGGTGCCTCAAGGGAGGTAGATACGATACATACTAGAATAATGGCTATGTAAACCACGAAGAACTGCACCACATCGTATTCACCACGTGCCACGAGTTGACCACCGTACCTGAAACATCCTGCCTCAGCAAGAGAGGTTGAGCTGACCAAAACCTAGACTTACCAGAAACATAATGCCATACATCCCAGATCCAAGCTGTCTGAGGCCGCAAATACCAAACAACCATGTCTCGCCTTCAAAAATGCAGCCCTGACATGGCTGCGGAGAAGGGCGGCATATCTTTGATTGATGGAATCTTCGAGTGTAAGTGATGTGACTGTGCGAAACGCACCAATGGCCTCAGACGCAAATTGGGAGCTCTCCGCGAACACTGCTGCGTTCAGCCGCTCGAACCGAAGCTCATATCTAACCCTGACGAACATAGCGAGGATTATCAGTGGGAATGCAGAAAACACCGACACAAGAGTCAGTTTCCATCCAAAAGCGAAGGATATGGCAATGCATCCAAAAATATTAAACAATGATATAAGCGGAAAGGCCATGTACGGTCCTAGAAGCTCCTGGAGCTGGGACGGATCCGAGGACAATCGCCCTGTCAAAGCCCCAGCTGAATTCTCTTCTTTATCGAAGAACGGGATTGGCTTGCGAATAATACTCTCAAAGTATTCCTGGCGATAGGTGGTGGCGATGTGCTGGAGCGAACGCTTAGAAAACATTTGGAGAAGTTAACACAGAACGAGAAATAACCCACCGTGGAGACCGAGGCAGAGGAGAATCCCAACAAAAAGTAGAAACAAAAAACTCCAATCGCAAGGATGAAAAACATAAGCGCCCAGAAGTTTGCTCGATCTCGCAGCGCAGCGGCCTCAGTAAGCTGGAATGTTTCCACGAGATGCGCAAAGATGAAGCTCTGGACCGAAAATGCAGCTATATTGGAATGCGGTTATCTTCGCGTGAGCCAGCCTCGTACTGCAGCTCTAAGGCAGGTAGGGATTTCCAAACTTACCACCACACCCAACAGCTCCAATAATGACGGATGCATACAGCCACCACAGCCTTCCCTGTTCCCAGAGAAACAAGCCCACGGAACGAATAAGGGATCTCGGCTTATAAACTTCTTCGCTCACCTCCAAACCGTGAGAATCATCCGTCTGCTTCTCGGATGTCCTTGTATTGGAAACACTTTGCTCTAGAACATCTTCTATAACTGGTAGGGGAGAGCTGGGACTGTCATCCATTTCAAGCTGCTGGTTTTTAACAAGAGCATGATAGAGCCCTCCTTGTGCGAGGAGTTCCTCGTGCGTTCCCTCCTCCATTGCCTGCCCACCCTTGAGAAGAATAATTTTATCTGCCTTCTTGATGGTTGATAGACGATGTGCGATTGTGATAGTTGTTCGATTCTTGGACACACGATCAAGAGCCTCTTGGACGATACGTTCACCTCGAACATCGATGGAACTCGTTGCCTCGTCGAGGATAAGGATAGAGGGCTTTTTGATGATGCTTCTCGCAATGGCGAGTCTTTGGCGCTGCCCGCCACTAAGTTTCATTCCATTTTCACCGACAAGTGTGTCGTAGCCCTAAGCATGTCAGAGTAGAGGCTCAGACCACACCAGAGGGCTCCACTGACCTCTGGCAATTTGTTGATGAACTCATCCGCAAAAGCTTCTATGCAAGCCTCTTTTACAAGGCGTCGCTTTGTCGTCTCATCCGCACCCTCCCATTCGGATCCAACAAGACCATATGAAACATTCTGGTATATTGAAGTGTTGAAACAGAATGGCTCCTGCTGAACGAGACCAATCCGGGATCTCCACCATTTAAGGTGCACATCGACAATATTCGTGTCGCCAAGGGTAATTGTGCCGCCGTTTGGCGTTACTGCATCGCTATTGGCTTTTTTATCCTCGGGATCCGAATCTTCTTCATCACAGGACTTCTTGAACGGCTCAAGATTATCGTCCAATTGATACCAACGTTCCAAAAGCGCAACAATCGTACTTTTGCCACATCCCGAAGCACCAACGAGTGCCGTGATTTTCCCAGCAGGAAGGCAGAGTGATAATTTATTCAATACCTTCACATTGGGTCTACTTGGATAAGAGAACACCGCCTCGTGAAACTTAATATCCCTTGATGCGGAAATTTCCGGTTCTTTCAGCCCTGAGGTGTTGGGACTGGGTGCATCAAGCACTTCGAAAAAGGCAGTGGACGCACTTATCGCTTTTGATATCGCGATCATCGGACTAGCAATCATCGATATAGCGGACACGACGACAAGGACAGAAAATATAACTCTTTTGGTTTTATAAGCCGAAGCCGAAGACGGTACGTTGTGGTATGATCTCGGACTTACATCACGACCTGACCTATATCATCCACGTTGCCTCTCGAATATTGTCTCACTCCAAACCAGAAAGTCAATGCAAAATTGCAATACATGGCGAAGTTAGCAGGGCTGATGTGAACTCCCATGACCGGAGGAATCCGCAATCCCCTTTTTCTGGCTTCGGCGATCCACTCGGCATATCTTGCACCCAGGCGGGCTTCGGCACCGCAGGCGACGATGGTTCTCATGGTGCCAAGGGCCTCTGCAGCGACGGACGATGCCTTCTCGTCGGCAAAGTCGACTTTTTTCTGAAGTCCAAGAAAGATAGGCACCGTGATACTAAAGACGACCATGATGAATACCAGGGCGGAGCTGGAGACTAAGGTCAGCGACCAAGAATAACGAAAAGCCACGACGTACGCGGCAACAACGAGGGTCAGTGATTGCACCAGTATCGAGAGCTTGTCTCCGATGCCTGCTTGGATGAGGTTTGCGGACGTTGTGATGGTGGTGGTTGGCCGTCCAACAGGAAGTTTGTCAACAAAACTGACGCGCTGTTTGAACAAAGCAGACATGTATGCAAGTCGCAAATTAGCAGAAATTCTGAGTCCCGCCATGCGAATGCAAAACTATTGGCCCATTAGTCAAGCAGGACTTGGGGGGGTTTAGAACATCACGGGGCCGATCGAGAGACCAACGAGGGAGATGTAGCCGAGCACAAACTTCCCGATGAAGAGGTAGACAATATACAACCTTCAAAGCGGCTAATTAATCACAGCACTCGTGAAAACAGCACAAACATTCAGAGTACCGGCAGACCTTCTTGCAGATAAGGCCTCCACAAAGATCAGGTAACAAGACGGGGATGACGTACACATTGCGGTTAAGGCTGTTCCGGAACTGGTCCTCTGTGGTTCCAGAATCGGGTACAAAAAAACCGGTGAAGTCCGCGGCGAGTTTGCCTTTGGAGCACCGGCTGTCAGCCTGGCAGTTCGCTGAAACATGGAGAGCATTTAACCGCACTGACCAAAAATGATATTCATCAGCGGAAGAGCCTAGTCACCGACGAGATCGTTAACCATCATATCGGCTCGACTCAAAGCAGGCGCGCGGTGGCATACCACGCCAGTTCCGGCGGCACACAGCGCGGCAACCGCCATCAAGGCAAAGTCGAGTCGGCTGCCATACGACAAGATCCTCTGTTGCAATAGAGTCAGTCGACTTGAGGATCAACGTGTTCGGCACGACGACAAGCGACGAACCCAAAAATTGCCAAACGGTGGCCTCCCTTCGGGCTCGTCGGAGGACGGCTTGGCTTCCTTTGAGGACGCCATTCTGAGAGCGATCGATCTAACGATCCCCGAATAGTTGGATAGCGATGGAAAAAAGGCGGCAGGTTCTGAGAGATGACCATATCCGCCATCATTCTGAAAAAAATAAAGCTAAAAATAAAAGTCACAGAGGCCAATGGGCTTGGGAGCAGCCATCCAGGCAGCAATTTTAACACAGTCCGCCGGGGTGCCAGTGCAGCAGCCCCTAAAGTAAGTTAACTAGTTAGCTAGTTAGTTATACCATCCAGTCCAACAAAAATTCTTTATTTTCACTAGCAATCGAATTTAAGTATATGCCACATAAAAGTATTAAACTATTTCAACTACTCCAGTACGGAGTACTCTGCAAAGTGATCATCAAGAAAAACCAACTGACTGATTTCTCAAGTGCATGTATGGAATTTTTTTTTTTTTTTTTTTGGGTCAAATTACACTTTTTTGTCGGAGTGGACGCGAGAGGGGTTGCCGTAGCCAACCCCTGTTCGAGGGAGGGAGCGGACTCGAGAAGCAGGGCGATGCGGACGGAGAGGTCCGGGCAACGAGAGCTAACAAGAGGGTGTGAAACCTGTTCGCAAAACCCACCGCGCGGTCAAAAGCTCCAGGTGAGCATCAGTCAAGCAAGGGTAATTAAAGCAAGACACCTGCAAGTGAAGACATAGGTTACCCGCCTTCAAGAAGAGTTGTTTGGCTTGGTGTACTCTCACTACGCTGTACAGAGTGCTCCGTAAACTGCAACCAAGTAACTAACTCGCTGATCGCCCTTGATCAACCCTGGAGTACGGAGTCCGGAGTACAGAATACGGAGTACTTTTTATCCATGCTCTCTGTACTCCGTAGATCAGAGTGAAGTGAAGTGAAGTGAAGTGAAGTGAACCTTGTTCCAACTGAAGCTCTCCAACACCCACGTGATCATAGTATTTGGAGAAAACCATTTCTTTTTTTTTTTCCCTGTCAGCTCTCTCTCGTGTGAGTTTCAGCCAGATGCGATGTTTCATGAAATGTATGCAGTGCGGAGTGCATTGTCCCTTTCACTCCCCTGTCTTTTATCGCGCACACACACAGAGTTTTCGTTTTCTCTTTAGTTATACTCTCCCCCCGTCTCTCGACTGTTTCTCCCACGCAACCCCCGGAAAATTTCGTCCGGCGAGCCGTGTGGCCGAAGCTCCCCCATGTTTCGCTTTCCCCGCCCCCCTCGGCTATAGCCGGGAATAGCTGTGCGTTTAAACTGACCAAACCAGGGGAGAGTTTGTCCGCAGCTACATACAAAGAGACCAGGAAGAGACAGCTGCACTCCGGTCATCATATATATGAGTATATGAACAGATAGATACAATATACTGTACTGTCGGAGTCTCCGAGAGCACCGAACCCCGCTGGCATTGAGTCCTATAGCCCACTCCTACTCATACAATGGCCATCGCACCCCTCGCGGTCCCCGTGCGGAGACTACTTTTTCCCCTTCGCTCTTCAGCCCGATCGTTCTCGACAACCCTATCCCGAGATGCCACCTGGGGCTTCATCGGGCTAGGCCAGATGGGTATGTTGTCAATGCCGTCCTCCTCGTCAAGCTCCCTGGAAAACTCACCGCCCGCATCCCAGGTTACCCCATGGCCAAAAATCTACGGGCAAAAATCCCGGAGTCGGACACCCTCCTCATATGCGACTCCAACCCCGATGCGACAAAGAGATTCACAGCCGAGCAGTCCGGCAAACGGATAGAGGTCGCCTCAAGTCCCCGAGAACTTGCAGGGAGATCCGTCAGTCGCCCCGCGATCCAACTCACCCTTCTCTCCCACCCAGGCTGAAAGGAGTCCACTCGCTGATTGCGTGCCTGACAGGAAACCATCATAACCAGCCTTCCCGAACCGCAACACGTCAAGGGGGTTTTCCACACCATCCTCAAGGACGGTCTGCCCAAGTTGGCGACAGAACGCCTCTTCATCGATTGCTCCACCATCGATCCCATCTCCTCGCGAGAGGTCGCGGCTGCCGTTCATTCGACAGGCTCCGGCCGGTTTGTCGACGCTCCCATGTCTGGCGGTGTGGTTGGCGCTACCGCCGGGACGCTCACCTTCATGGTCGGCGCTTCGTCGCAGATTCCCGGGCTGGTGCAGGAGGCGGAGAAGGTATTGCTCCTCATGGGAAAGAAGGTATGGCATCTCGGGGAGCAAGGCGCCGGTCTCTCTGGGAAACTAGCGAATAACTACCTCCTCGCCATCACCAACATCGCTACGGCAGAGGCCATGAACCTTGGAGTCAGGTGGGGTCTGGATCCCAAGGTCCTGGGCCAGATGATCAACTCCTCTACCGGTAGGAGCTGGTCCAGCGAGGTGAACAATCCCGCTCCCGGTGTCGTAGAGACTGCACCCGCCTCGCGCGGTTATTCGGGCGGGTTCGGTGTTAGTTTGATGAAGAAGGATCTCAGACTCGCTGTCGAGGCCGCGAATGAGGCCGGAACCCGTCTGGAGCTGGCCAGCAAGGCCCAGGAGGTCTATGATTCCACGGAAGCCGCCCACAAAGGCAAGGACTTTTCCGTCGTGTATCAGTACTTGAAAGATCACTCGCGTTGAGATATCCATCTGGTGGTGGTACCAATAGACCAATGTTATAAAATGTATACGGAGTATCGGAGCAGCCATTCAGTTGGGCTTGATGACATTAGAGAATGAATTATTTTCTCTATACAGAGAAAAGACGATGGTATGTGCAGCATAACATACCGACCTGACAATAGAAGCACTTTCAATCAGAGCGGTTATATTATGATTTTATAGCATCATTATGATTAGCTAGAACTGTACTATATTTATCCCCACGGTAAGTGGGCATGAGGCAGCTACTGTTGCATTTTCATAAGCTGGCTCACCATTCATCCTCAAGTCGGCTCCATATTCACCACTTTTCATGACCTGTCCTGATGCATTCCGAACAACTTCGAAGGACTCGGCTGACTGGCTAGTATCGCCCCAGTGTGTAGTTGAGCTCTATATATGTGTGTTACGCTGATAGCCCTATTTCCATCTCTCCCCCACCCAAACACACACACATGTCATGCCATGATCATCGATGCTGACCTTCGCTGACAAACTTCAAATTTTGTTATGATGTGTTGCATTGCCGAGGAGGAGAATTAGAGAATGGACTGCGAGTATCATTGCAACTCTGCTTTTTTTAAATAGCCCTCTTTTGTCATCGGATCCGCCAGTGATTGCTGTGTTGATTGACCAACACCAAGGATTAGTGGCAACAGATTGTGGGAGACAGTACTCCGTACAGAGTACTTTGTAGCCAACTATCCTGTTGAGGGAATCCTGCCACTACTACTCCGTACAGAGTACTTAAACGACATACAACTCAGCTGCTCTCCATCGAATTCCAGTGTACTCCATAAAAGAGTATCTTTTGATAACTCAGACCGCGAAAAGTCATAGGAATAGCGGACAAGTCAAGGGTGACTGTATCCATCCCTTGAGCTGCTAGTATTGCCATAGTGGTTAGTAATGCTGTAAAATCTGCATTGAGCGTGAGCGCGTTGAATCCGCAGCCAAGGGGCTTAGGACCAGAGAAATTGATAATACCCTCAAACAATGACTGATGACGATGCTGATGCTGGGAGGCTGTGGGTAAGGGCCGACCGGAAAGATCGAGAATGCCCTCAGAGGATTGACGGCGATGATGGGATGCCATTCTTTGGAGCTTGCCGCGAGAAAGGTTTATCGCGAGTGAGAGCATGCTTGAAAAAGAGTGCCGCCCACTTGCGTCACACCACCACTGTTCTCAAACCACCAAAAGGCATTCAATCACTAACAAGTTAACCAACAAACATGGGAACACACGATCCACACTGCACCCCAGTGAATCAACACTCTCTTCCATTGGCATGGGGCTCATATGACAGGGAAATGTTAAACGCTTTCAATCTGAATTAACTGACAGATCCTACTACTATTCTTGTCCCAAGGTTTGGCTCCAAGCTGTGCTCCAGCCTCCGCCAATCCACAGACACCACACCCCTAACCTCTGCTTGCTGATCGCATCGCAATGGCATATATTACACCCCTCCACCATGCCAGCAGTGTTGACAATGCTATCAAGCTGCAGTTTATGAACCCTGGGGAGGATTGTTTGGTTGTTGCGTGCGTCCCCACCCCACAGACATCTCCCCCTCGACCTGCTGGCTCGGACACGTCAATGACGGCCAATAACTGATTAAACCTTTTACCAACGACAGAAAATCCAATCGCCTCGAATTCTACTTGCCAACCCCTGATGGTCTCTCGCTACAGCATGCAAAGGCCATATACGGCAAAATCTCAGTCCTACAGAAGGTCCCGCGATCGCATTCCTCCGCAACGGACCTGCTCTTCGTTGGCACGGATCGCTATGCATACTTCACGTTATCATGGGACCCATCAACATGTCAGCTCCATACAGAGCAGAAATATCTAGATATAGCGGACCCTTCGCTGCGCGATAACCAGAGTGGTGATCGCTCATGGGTGGATCCGTCCGGGAAGTTCTTAACCATGGAAATTTACGAAGGCATAATCTCGGTCATACCAATCGCACAAGAGCCCCTGAAGCGGCCATCTCCATCAGCGGGTCGTTCTTCAGGAACATCTGAGCAGCGCGAGTACCTGGGAGAACCACTTCAGACCAGAATTGAGGAGCTGATCGTTCGATCAACGGCGTTTTTGCATCATGACCCGACTAAACCCCCGCGAATAGCTATTCTGTACGAAAACACACAAGGGAAGGTGAAGCTCAAACTGAGAGATCTCATATACTCCCGAGGAATCCCTGGAGGTGAAGCTAGCGCCGCGGAATTCAGAGATGTAGATGACCTCTACGATGACTTGGAGCTGGGGGCTGATATCCTGGTCCCTGTTCCCTTGCCTCTTGGTACGTTACTTCCCCAATGAATTCTCAATGGTAGCGGCCTCTTTCTCTCCCTCTCTTTTTTTTGAATCCTATTAATCGAGGATGTATAGGTGGAGTGCTTATCCTAGGGGAGAAATTTATCAAGTACATCGATACTGTCAAAAATGAAACTATCACGCGGCCACTGGAGCATAATACAATATTCGTGGCCTGGGAGCAACTGGATAATCAGAGATGGCTGTTAGCTGATGATTACGGCAGATTGTTCTTCTTCATGTTGATCCTTAACTCTGCAAACGCGGTGCAGAGTTGGAAGGTTGGTTTACTAGGAGAAACATCTCGTGCATCAGCTCTCGTACATCTCGGTGGTGGCGTGGTGTTCCTAGGCTCGCATCAGGGTGATTCCCATGTAATCAGGATCACGGAAGGTTCGTTTGAAATCATTCAGACGTTGTCCAATATCGGCCCAATTCTTGATTTCACTGTAATGGACCTGGGTAATCGAGGTGAAACTCCTACCCACGAATTCTCTTCGGGGCAAGCCCGAATCGTAACTGGGTCTGGAGCTTTTCGCGACGGAAGCTTAAGAAGCGTTCGCAGTGGTGTCGGAATGGAAGATCTGGGTGTCCTTGGAGCCATGGAGCATATCACTGATTTATGGGGCCTATCTGCATTCTGTCCGGAGGGATTCTGCGATACCCTACTATTGTCTTTTGTGGACGAATCGAGGGTTTTTCATTTCTCTCCTGACGGAGAAGTGGAAGAGAAGGATGACTTCCTCGGGCTGTTATTAGGAGAACCCACCATTCATGCTGCCAACCTCCCCAGTCGCCGCATTTTGCAAGTTACAGAGCACGGGGCAAGAGTTACAGATGTTGAAAGCCGAATGACACTATGGGAATGGTCTGCAGTCGAGAGTCGGAAAATAACAGCTGCCTCCTCCAACGATCGACATTTGGTATTGATGGTAGGCGGCCAGAAGCTTATGGTTTTTGACATTGGCGATGATATAAAGATGTCTAGCACCAAAACTTTCGAAGCCGACAAACAGGTCTCTGGTGTCGCGCTCACATCATCGCCTATCCAGGCGTGTATTTTATGTTTCCCACAGTCAGCCGAAGTCACCATTATCGACCTGACAGGCCTGAATATTCGACATACCGAAACCCTTGGCGAGCCAGGAGATGCCGTTCCGCGGTCAGTGCTAGTCGCCTGTATGTTCTCTGATCGGGCCCCAACACTGTTCGTTGCTATGGCAGATGGCAGTGTCTTTTCCTTCTCCCTCAACGTAGCGAACTATTCCCTGTCCGATGCCAACAAGCTTGTACTTGGATCGGAAGCGCCGGTGTTCAAGTTGCTGCCCCGAGCAGACGGACTTTACAATATTTTCGCGACCTGCGATCATCCCAGTCTGATATACGCATCCGAAGACAGGATAGTTTATTCAGCCGTTAACTCAGATAAAGCAACCCGTATCTGTCACTTCAATGCGGAAGCATACCCGGGAGCCATCGCTGTTGCAACTCCAGATGACATTAAAATTGCGCTCGTGGACGCCGAACGCACAACGCAAATCCAGACACTAATGATCAACGAAACCGTTCGAAGGACGTCATACTCCTCTACTGAGCGGGCTTTTGGACTCGGAACCATCCAAAGAACATTGGTGCAGAACGTGGAAGAAGTGAAGAGCCATTTTATTCTTGCTGATGAAATAATGTTCCGCCAGTTAAGCGTATTTGATTTGAACCCAAATGAGCTCGTTGAGTGCGTTATACGAACCGAGCATCCCAGCTCTAACGCTCAGATGGGCAGCAGTCGTCCGAGGGACATATTCATTGTCGGTACTTCCGTGTTGGATACACCGGAAGAGGCCGAGGCCCGTACGAAGGGCAGAATACTCGTATTCGATGTCGACACGAATCGCGAGCTGCGGAAGATATGTGACTTTCCTGTCCGAGGCGCGTGTAGAGCGCTAGCAATGATCAACAATAAGATTGTTGCCGCACTTATGAAAACGGTTGTGTCATCTAGTATATCCTCGCTACATCTAAGCTGACTTTATTGTAGGTTGTGGTGTTAAATATCAAGAAAGGAAATCTTTATAATTTCGAAATCGAAAAAGAAGCTAGCTATCGAACATCCACGGCACCTGTGGATATCTCCGTCACCGGTAATATAATCGCTGTCGCGGATTTAATGAAAAGCATTTCTCTTGTGGAATACCACGCAGGAGAAGGGGGTCAACCAGACACACTTAAAGAAGTTGCGCGTCACTACCAAACGCTATGGACCACGGCGGCGGCGCCAGTGGCGGAAAATGAATTTCTTGTAGCCGATGCAGAGGGAAATTTGGTCGTGTTGAACAGGGACACAACAGGCGTCACGGAGGACGATAGACGACGGATGCAAGTGACCAGTGAACTTCGGCTGGGCGAGATGGTCAATAGGATTCACCCTATGGATCTCCAGACTTCTCCCGAATCGCCCGTGATTCCCAAAGCCTTTTTAGCAACGGTATGCATACTTCCTTCAGCATCCCATTTCAATCATTGCACCTTTCCGCCGTGACTAATCTCAACTTCTTTAGGTGGACGGCTCCATATACCTTTTCGGCCTTATTTCTCCGTCTGCACAAGATACATTGATGCGCCTTCAGTCAGCCCTTGCCGACTTCGTTGCGAGTCCTGGGGAGATACCCTTCAATAAATACCGTGCATTCAAAAGCAGTGTCCGCCAGGCTGAAGAGCCGTTTCGATTCGTAGATGGGGAACTAATTGAGCAATTTTTGACTTTCCCGCCCGATATACAAGAGGCCGCTCTAGCTAGAATGGACGGTGGCGGGCGAGTAAATGTCATTGAAATAAAGGGCATGATCGAGGGGCTGAAGAGGATGCATTGAATTAGTCCGGGAAACGATTTTTGACAGATGACTGGTCAAGATAAAAAAGCTGAGCGAGTCTGAATGGTATTGTTGTAATAGATGGGCGCCAATCTCGATGTTGTGAGAGATATATATGCTACTACAGTACATAATCTGTACAGATATAGCGCTTCTTCAGCAACCGTATTTCCGCTGAGCGTAGTCCATTCAGTGGGCTCCACTCTATAGCTATTTCGTATAGCTTCAATGGTCTCAATGCCCTCGAGCCGCGTGTCTCACAACGACTCCCGAAGCGCCGATAATCATACGGTGTGCTGCATAAGTACATGTGCCACACAGCATTTCGGCCGACGGTCCACTGTTGCTTGGGTTTGGTTCATCGCTTTCTCCTCCTTGGAAATTCGAGACGCCAATTGACATGAAGACCAGGATGACTTCGTGACCTTCCTAGTTGTGGTTCTCAGGCCCAATCAAAATAATTTATCCATGCCGAAGCTGACTGGCTAGCCAATTCCCATTAGCCATGCGTATCCTTGGTGGAATCAGGGAATTGGTCCCAGATATCCCCTTCGCGTTCGGAAAGGTCAAGGTCGTCGTCACGGTCGGTGTCTTCTCGGTCTTTCCGTCGTCCCGGCTGCGAATTTCGTTCTGAGGTGCCCTTGGCTTTCTGCTGCTGCTGCTGCTGCTGCTCCTCCGACACTCCATGCTGCCTATCATTATCCATGTACAACCTCAGAACCGATTCGAGGCCCGCGTTCCGCCTTCCAAGGAGCAAAACGTCCGAAGGCTGGATCTGCGCGTGCCGTCCATGCCTAGCAAGGGAGAACAACAACACGGGTTAACCAACACCGTGAGCTTGGAGGTGAGTCGACACGAAGGAAACGCATCGGACATACTTTGCAAACATGATCAGATCGTCTGTTGTATCAGCTGTGTCTCGATCAGTTTGGAGCCGACAAGAGCAAAAAAGGACGAGGCACCAGCTACCCACCTATGCGATCCCACACCATCTCAGTCATTGCAATGAGGAATGAGGGCGTGATGTCGACATCCTCCTCGTCGACCTGGTCTCGCACCATTCGGCGGAGAGCCTTCCAGAGTTCGGCTTTCAGTCGCTAGATACACGTTATATGATCCAGGTCAACATAAAGTCCAAAGGTTACATATCTGAGAAAAGGTGGACCTGGTTACTCACACGCTCTTCAAGCTGTCGGTCTTCCATCTCGCTAGCCGCCATTTCGTAGCCTATCCGACCTCACCCGGCCTGACAGCCAAGGATGGCTCCTGTGTCCGTACGCGATGTGATTGATTGATTGATTGATTGATTGATCCATTGGTTGATTGGTTATGTCATCCACCGTCCCAGCCGCTTTGTCAGCAGCTATGCGGGCGTGTTCTCACGTGATCGCCAGCTCAGTCACGTGATCTAGACACAAACTAAACAAACACAACAACATGAATACAGGTTTTCCATCCCAACCGCCATAACGTCAAAAAAGCAAGAAATGGAATGTATATAGAAAATATAGATAGATCCCCTCAATGCCATTTAGCTGGTGCATCCAGGATGCCGCGCATCCGTACGCGATGTGGTCATTTACCTCGTTAGTCAGCGCGGTTTTCGCGTCAGTCACCTGACCAAGATAGCCACATTATGTCTAACCAATTACGGTTAGATCAATATGCAGACTTTACATAAGCTTAGTCACTAACAAACTAACCAGGTTGAGTTTAGCCCACGACGTCAAAGCTCCATCGTTTCCGTCTTGCCGGAGCTCCGAGCAAAAAGGACAGACCAAAGAAAAAAAAACCAAAAAGGAAAAAGAAACAGAACGGAAAATAAGGGCAACCAAAGGCTGAAAAGAGCACGTCCACCATCTCTCTTCGTCCTCGTCCTTGCACGCTGTTTGCTGTACCTTCGCGCCGTAAACCCCCACCGCCCACTCTCCTTTCGTTGAACCCGTACTCCTCCCGATTCTTGCGCGATGTCCGACTTCCCACTTCTCGCCGTCCTCCACACGTGGTACACGAACTTTACCACCAATGTCTCCAACTCCGTCTCCAATCTCACCGTGAGAGATTATATTCGCCTCGTATGGATAATCGGCGGATATATGTTCCTCCGTCCCTACCTCGATAAAGGGTTCCGGAGGTTATTCGAGAAGGGTGTCGCCAAATCAGAGAAAGCGGAAGAAGCTCAGGCAGAGGCCCAAGCCCAACAAGCTGGAGGCGCCATGTTAACCGCAAATGATCTCCGTGATGGAAGAGGGAACGAGAGCGAGGATGACGATGACGATGGGGGTGCGTCCAGTGCCGTTCCTCAGTGGGGCAAAAGTGCCAGAAGAAAGCAGAGGAAGTTCTTGGAGTTTTTGGAGCAGGAGGCGGAGAGGCGCAGGGAGGATGACGATGATAGAGATATCGCGGATCTGCTGGAGGACTGAAGTCAAGCCGGACGAGAATTTGTACATACACAAGTTCCCCTATGTGTGGACATTTTTTCTGCGCGCAAATTAGATTGCAATGTGAGTTGGATCTCCCCAGCCCCGGTTTTCGATGCTACTCCCCAGTTTTCCCTATTGTTACGGTCAATATATGGCCCCGAAGCTGGATGATTAAGGTCTCTCTCTATATACACCGTGGGCTGACATGTCTGCAATGGATTACTACCAAAGCAGAGATAAAGGCACTTGAAATATCCGGATATGATGCTGTCCTCCATCGCCTGCGCCATCTTGTAGGGATTGATGATAGTAGGCAATACCTCCTGTGCCCTTCCGTATCTTAGCGCAGGGCCAGTTAAAGGCGAAACTGTTTACGACCATTTTCGGATGAGGTTAGCAGAGACCACGGGGACCTTCGGCAAGCTTCGTTGAAAGTGTGGCTGCTTCCACCCTTTGTTCCTGGCGAATAACCTGGCTTTTGCACAAAGACGGCCATTCCCCCGGTCACTCCGGGCTCTCGACCTGCATTAAACAGCTATACAAGCCTATTGACGACCACGCTTTGAACTCCCGATTCTCCGCTATATTCGAGGCGGGTATCGAACTCTGGTTGCTTCTGACTAATGAACCGTCCACCAGTCTTCTGACATAATTGGGAGTGACAGGCAACTTTGACATCATAGATTGGGAGAGACAACCATGGGTGAGCGAGAGCGGGTGGCGCTTGCTGGGCACATGCGAAGAAGGCTTGAAGCAGAGCGAAAAACTTAGCTATCAGTGTAATACTCCAGCTCTTCAATCGTCTCCTCTATCAACATACGGTTCTATATCTATCGCCGAGCTTTTTGAGTCAAAACGAGTTTGAAACGCGTCCTTGACCCTGTCAGCCCGCTCGTCATGACCGCTGCCCGTACGATCCGTATCAGTAACTTCATTCTCCGTATCCTCCAGCTATGCGTCTCGGTCATTGTTTTGGGAATATTTTCTTATTTTCTTGCCGTGCTTGCGGACCATAACCTAGCAATCCAAAGGTGGGTGAAAGCTGTCGAGGGCATATCTGGCATGGCCGCTTTCTACGCCATTGTAGCCTCCATCTTCACCCTCAGCATTGGCGGCATTCCGTTCTTTGCGGGCGTGGCTATGGTCCTAGACTTTGCCTTCACAGCCGGCTTTATCGCAATCGCAATTATGGCCCGGGATGGTACACAAGCTTGCACTGGACATGTTGACACTCCTATTGGAAACGGCGACGCAAACCAGCCCGCCGGAGGTTATGGATCTGGCGGGTTTGGGACGGGAGATGGAAAGCAGCTGATATACATGCCCAGTCTGAAATCTGCGTGCAGACTGCAGAAAGGCGTTTTTGCAGTATCCATTATCGGGATGTGAGTGCCTTTCGGAGTTAATCATTGGGCAGCTGACTGAAAATACTAACTCCTTTCCACAAGATTTCTGTTCCTAGTATCGATCATCGCTCAGCATCTCTATATGCACCACCGTGAAACGATCAAAACTTCCCAGTCCGGTGGCTCTCGCCTCCGATCGCTCTTTCGTTTCCGTCGTCACAAGGTTGACCCACGATCCGCTATTGTTGATTTCAACCAGGCCAACGACGGCGCAAATGGAACGATCCCACTTTCAGATCAACCCTCAACCGAGAAACCTCCTCGCTCTACTAAAGTATTCGGCTGGGGTGTTAGTAACTACTCGGCCACCGATCAGGTCACCGAGCCCCAGCCTACAGCACAGAGAGACGATACCAGTGGATGTTACAACAGCAACACTTCCAACATGCAGGGTTACAACTATTCGAGTCCGTATCCCTACAGCAACTCAGCCTATTACTACGGGATCCATGGGAATCCATATTCAACCGACAATCCTTATAGAACTGAGGCATGGCAGGACTATGACCACGGACAGAGTGGCGTTGGAGATAGCAGATATGCTTTTGGGTATGGTGACATGCATGCAGGAAGAGCGACTTATTGATAACATCTGTTGTGAGTGTAGATTGTTTTAAATATCTAAAGGAGCAAATAAATGAATATAACTATAAAGAACCCTTTCTCGCCTGACAGTTCTCTAAGCAAGAAAAAAAAAAAAAAAAAAAGAAAAAAACCAACAAAAAAATGGACGTCAGTGTCTGAAATAACTAGATCCAATATTAGTTTATAAGATTAGATACAGCCTTATTCATGTGGAATGGATCCTTGTGATACCCCTTGCATAGAGAATCAGAACCATTCTTTCTGGGGATGTGTACAAGTAGTCCTTCATCGCCTGCTTGTCGAAGGGGTTCCCGATCCGCAGCAGCTGTGATAGCCGCACGTGGCTGCCAACCACAGTTGCAAGATAGCCCGCAACCGAGAAACCTGCCATGCATGGTACGTACGAGGCAAAAGGCGGTTATGGAGAACTTGACCTTCCGCTAGAATAACAAAATATGGACTGGAGATCGAGGCTTGAACTAGTGGTTGTAATGGGTTTGTGGGTTTGAGTCTTTGACTAAAAGGAACGGAGTGGAAGGGAAAGCAAAGCGCTCATGATGACTAGCGGGTAGAAAACTAACTTACAAATAGAAATGTCTCATTTTCAAAGGATTATATGGAGACTTTCAGCTAATCAAGAAACAAGAGAAGGTTGAGCTGTTATAGTAGGGCATTATAGCTCTGAGGAGTTCACATTCAAATCAAACGCATGGCTGATCAATAAGGAGGCCAATATGTGACCCATTTAGCGCAAAACAAGCAGGGACTTTTCAGGGGATCAAAAACCTGATTAAGTGCTGTTGTCCGGTCTAAGAGCCACCTGCTCCCGGGACTTACTCACGCTAGTTGGGCAACAACCACCGCGAGCCTTTCTCATGTATGTCTCTCGCACTACATCCCCCTCGTTCGCTGCAACCACCCATTCCCCAATGCCCAAATGTTCTGGCGCGCGCCTCACTCCTCGTCCACCACCTCCCAGAATCAAATTCCCCGGTCGATAGTTCTTGTCCGCCCTCATACGCCGGATTGCACTTACATGGATATGAGCATCCGCAGGGATATCCCGTACTTCGCCACAGGGAAGAGGCCAGCGAATCGGCTTCCAACTCCCGTCAGCTTGCAGATCCATTCGGCGGAATGGGAGATACTCCATGATCTTCCATATGATCACTGATATCGCCGATAACCCGCTACCAAATTCGAGGCAGTCGTGAAGGTGCCCTTGTGTGCTCGAAGAATGGAGAGCGGTGTGAAATTCTTCGTCTACCATGGACCCAACAATGTCCAAGGCGTGATTGCTATTATCATTGCTATCACTTGGATGACATTCAAGGTCGGGATCAGCAGGAGAAGCTCCATGTTCATCGGTAATAACAACGGATGGCATTTCGAGCCGTACGCTCTGCTTGCCGCCTGGGTATGGATTATTGCATTTAAACTGCCGTAGTTTGCGCTCATCGAATTGCAGCCCAGCCTTTTGAGCCTCCTGCACCATCCACACCAATGGAGCGTGGCTAAGGGGCCACCTTTCCTGAGGCCTAAGTTCCCACCCGCCTCCAATATCTGCATGGCCACCTGGGAACCACACTTCTTGGATGTCTTGCGCACCGTCGTCAGTATCGATATTGTGGCCCCGGCTCAGCGACATTTGCGAGTTCCCGCTCCGCACAGATGCAATTTCCGAATCCAGGTCGCAAGGCTGGTGTGCTGACAGATGCAAAGGGTCCCTCCCAGCTCCCTGGCTCGTTGGTGGGCGATACCTATCTTCCACTTCATAGGAATCCGCTCGGCTGGGTGAGAATTGCCGTTGGCGGTTCCCATGGCTGTTCTCATGACCGTTGCTGTGACCGTTGCTATGGCCATTGCGATGGCCATTGCTATGCTTATGTCCCTTATCGTCGATCTCCTTGGCACATGTATCTGTGCGTCTACCGGTATCCTTGCGCGACTCTGCGCTTTTCCCACGGAGACGAGCTCTCCAGCGACTGTATCTCCGGGCCGCTGAATATTGCTTCACTGTGCAGTGACGGCATTCGGATATCAAGTCTTGTCGAAATTTAGCTCTGCGTTCGTCAATACCTACGGCATGTCGGATGACCTTTGCCGAACTTCGTGCAGTGTAAGGAAACTTGTTCCTCTGCATCCATGCGGATTCGAAACTCGGAACACTATTCACCGTATCGAACAGTCCTAAGAATCGAATCTGCTTAATCGGGCGGCTGAAGGTTTCACGGAAGGCCTTCATATATCTAAACAACTTCATTTTTTCTAGCTTATCCTCTTCGCTGTCACCACTTCTTTGCTGCCATTTAGAAAATGTCTTCCACGCGAAATGGACCAACTCTTCGTTTCCTGCGGTAAGTAAACCAACGAAATCTAGCATTTCGGCTAGGAAACGTGCGGTATATGCACCCCGACTGAAGCCAAAAAAGTATATGTCATCTCCAGGAGAGTAGTATCGCATCAGGAATCGGTAGCCGCCAACGACATGCTCAGCAAAGGACGAACCCACAGCGGAGTCCTTTGCCTTCATATACGACCCTTTGATGCGTGATAGAAGGCCAGTGTTTGAGAGCGAGGCGGTGGAAACATAAGTTCCAATCCCAGGCTGATAGTAATGGAAATGGCGTCCCTGGTTTCTATCTAGCATCTATTTGTTATGTTTAGGTCCAGTCGCGCTGAAAGGTTGACACCATCGAATCATGAAACTAACCCGAAAAATTTTCAAAACATTAGAATCCGCCTCCGTGCCGGAGAACTTATTCCCCGTCCCATCAAAGCAAAGCACAAATGTCTTCGGTGGCATATATGAACCGTAATCGGAAACTTGGCTCATTGTTGAATATGCAAGTCCTCTTGGCTTCGGGTTTTCGACACAAGAGGATTCACAGGTTCGAGAGCGTGATGTTTGAAGACAACGGAGGAAATAGAAACTTGACTCAAAAAAGGCTGGCCTCCAGTTGACATTTCTAGGAGATTTATTTCTGTCTCTGAGAGCCTCGGTTCATACTTTGTGTTTCCAAAAGAACCTCGAGCCCTGCATAACATGAGTTGCGATTCCCGATCGGACGAGTAGAAAAGCTCTTGTGCATGCTGCAAGTGCAGCTGAACGAGCTCTATTGACAGATCCGACTTGCCGATCCGCCCGCGATCAATAGCCAACCGCGTTCCGCATTTTGAGGCGCCTCTCAGAACTTCCTCTTCATTGCGAACGCTGATACGGGAGTCTCCATTGCACCAGAGGCCCACAACCACATTTGGGTAACTTAACTGTTGCAAGATCCTATGGTCATTGAACCATGTCAATACGAGGGTCAAGGGTGAGGGTCATTTGGCGAAAGAATAACGCGGCGGTAACTCGTATTCGAAAAGCTGGTCATTCTCACGGCATAATGGCCTGAGAAAACTCGGGAATACGACCGAATTGTGGCCTTGCCAATGATTCCATTTTGCATTGGGAGCTGCAGCTTCCCAGGCTGCGAGCGAGCGGGGTCTAAGAAGAGCTCGGTTCTTGTTTTCTGCAGCATCTTGAGTGGAACAGCAATCCAGTCGGCTTTGAAATGGCTAGTCAGCAAAATATGGTTGGAGTCCTCGAATATGTCATGCGAATTGAGCGATTGGGCGTCAATTACGGAGTACTCCGTACGGAGTAGTCCATTGACCCCGTACTTTTTGTGAAGACGCTTTCTCTGCAGTGATCGTCATTGGAGGCTCTCAAAGTTCAGTATTAACGTATGAATCCGTACATCCCCTGGGTGCAGAAAGCAAGGACCGGATGGGTCCGACAGCCCGCCGTTCACGGACGTTCGCGGCACACATTTGACACGTCAAAGGCGGATGAGAACTGGTGTGGCAGCGAGGGTGTAAAGACTATGAAGAGCCGGCTCACATCGCTTCACGACTAGATTTATGGTCCCACAGCAATTTCATCTGCCACAAAAACGAGGGCTAGGTGGACATTTGGATAAGGTAACTGAGTTAGCGAGCCGATGCGATCAAAGTCAATTCCGAAAGGTTGAACAGCGCTCGCACTTTCACAAGAAAGTCTATGCACCAGCGTTCAACTAGTTCCTTCTTGGCTCTCACACACTATTGAATGGAGGACCGCTGATCTCACTTGTAGGTGGCTGGCTGCAGCAGAGGCAGCTTGGTAAGAGGTGTGATGCTTTTTTGGTGATCCCAAAGAACGACGACGACAGCCGTTGTGGGGACTAACCAGATCCGGCAACTCTTAACGTCCTGTCTCACCAACACTGCGTTCAACTGCTCATTCATCCAGCCCATTTGGACCCTCACAGACTTTCTCTCATGTTCTGTGTATATGTGTGTGTTTGTGCCTTTCTCCTGGTTAGATGGCTTTATCAACCCCGCCAACGGAATGTCAATCTTAAGCTTTGTTCCAGCAGGTGCCCTGCTGCAGCCGCGACGCTGCGTTGTCGACTTGAGGATCCCTGCCGCCCCCCCATTGGTTTGTCTGCAGGCAAGATTCCCAGTGGCTTGCGGTTGAGGCCAATCACTCCCAATTAGCCCAGGATGGTTTCCTCCAATGCTCAGATGGACGCTCATCCGTGCTGATCGTCAAGCTTTTGGACTGGGCAGCCTTATCCGAGATCACGTCCGGTACAAATGGCGAAATAAGACCCTCAAACGGCTTTCTTCCATTTTCATTCAGTGCGAACCCACAGAGCTCGTTCATTCTTCCTGTCTTCGGGGTCTTAACTTTGCATTTGAAGTGCTACAGAAGTGTTGGTTCACAGGGTTCGCCTTATCAGTAGTTGGCTTCTTCGTTGAGGATTGGAGCTTCATTTCGAAGCAGCCTACTCAACAACTATGTCCACTACCAATGGTCATTCAAATGGCATCGGCCATACGAACGGGACGGCAGCTGGTACCAAGGCCTCCCGGAATGGCATTGACAAAGTCAATAGTCGCAAGAGTGCTGTCAAGCGCCCACAAGTCGAGAGTACATTCAAACAATATGCGCAGTTGATTCACGCCGCCAGGCGCCCGCTCCCAAAGCAATCCGGTGACGGAACTTATTTGACAGGACCCAAGGCAAAAACTTCTCTTCTCCAGGACCTGAGGTCGATGGGCCCCAAAGGATGGGGAACACTGATAGCTGTGCTGAAAAATAAGAGATCCGGTGATCTCACTGATGACAAGACCTACATCATGGAGCGCATAATCCACGTATGTTCTTCTCGAACGCTTACTTAGGTTTTCTGTGCTGACTTACTTCGGATAGCTTGTCGCGGGGTTACCACCAGAGTCAAACATGAGGACCAAGTTGACCAACTCGTTCGTCACCGAGCTTTGGAATACCCTTCCTCATCCATCAGTATCGTACGTGCGGCCCACCCCTTTAATATATTTTCTCGTGTTTCACCTCTTCTTACAGATTCCATCAGTGCATTCGGAGACGAATACATGTACAGATCTGCAGACGGATCTAATAACAATCCCCTGTTTCCAAAACTTGGCGCAGCAAACACTCCATATGCTCGCTCCATCATCCCATCGACGATTCAACTCGGTGCTCTCCCTGATCCAGGCCTGATTTTTGACAGCATCTTTGCTCGGGAGGAATTCAAACCTCACCCTAACGGTGTTTCCAGCATGTTCTTCGCCTGGGCTTCCCTGATCATTCATGGTGAGAAATGTCGTACCCTTTTCCATTAAAGAATGAAGTTAATGTCAGAAGATTTATTCCAAACCGACCATCGAAACCCAAATATCTCTCAGACTTCTTCTTACCTCGATCTTTCAACCCTGTATGGTGACAACCAAGAGGACCAAAACCAGGTGAGGACCTTCAAGGATGGGAAATTAAAACCGGATTGTTTCTCTGAACCAAGGCTTCTTGCTCTGCCCCCGGTCTGCAGCGTTATTCTAGTTATGCTTAATCGGTACGCTTTTCTCCATACGTCCCTTGCCAGCTGTAAAATGATGACATTTGACACTATTAGATTCCACAATTATGTCGCTGAGCAACTCGCGCATATCAACGAAGGTGGGCGGTTTAGCAAGCCGAGGACTGGTCTATCGCCTGAGGAATCCACCAAAGCATGGGCCAAATATGACACCGATCTTTTCCAGACAGCCCGACTGTAAGAGCATTGGTCTCCATCTGTTTTGACGGTTGCTGACAATGTGGACAGGGTTACCTGCGGCCTCTATATAAACATTACATTGTACGATTACGTGCGTACAATCATTAATCTAACACGCAGTAACACTACTTGGTGCTTGGTAAGACACAAAGACAGCCCTTGCCTCGACAACATTGCTAATCTCCCAAGGATCCACGAGTGAACATGCGTGACAACGCCACCCCAGAGGCCGCAGCGAGTGGAACAGGCAATCAATGCTCGGTTGAGTTCAATCTTGCCTACCGATGGCATTCTTGCATCGGACAACAAGACGAAAGGTGGACAGAAGGGATATACCAGGAATTGTTTGGAAAACCTGCTGGAGAAGTCTCGATGTCTGATCTCCTGATGGGCATGAAGAAATGGCAGACCGAATTACCCAAGGACCCGTCTCATAGATCCTTTGCAGGTTTGAAACGTGACTCTGATGGCCGATTCAACGATGACGACCTTGTGAAGATTATGACCGAAAGCACTGAAGAAATTGCCGGTACATTCATCAACATCCTCCCCGATCAGGTTGTTCACTGTAATAACCGTTTTCTAGGTTCTTTCGGTCCGCGCAATGTTCCAAAAGCTCTACGAGCGGTTGAAATTCTCGGCATTCAACAGGCACGTAAGTGGGGATGTGGCTCCCTCAATGAATTCCGGAAATTCTTCGGGCTTAAGGAGTACACAACCTTCGAAGAAATTAATTCGGATCCTTACATTGCGGATCAACTTCGTCATTTATATGAACACCCCGATCACGTTGAACTATACCCTGGTATCGTTGCCGAGGAGCCTAAAATTCCAATGGTCCCTGGTGCAGGAATTTGCCCCACGTATACGCTGTCTCGAGCCATTCTCTCGGACGCGGTTGCGTTGGTTCGAGGGGACAGGTTCTATACCGTATGGATTTTCCCTTTTACCCGCGAGAGAGGATTTTATAATCTAATTTGAAAGAATGCTGAGCGTTGCTAATTTGATCATTATAGACCGATTACCATCCCAAGAGTCTCACCAACTGGGGCTATTCTGAAACACACTATGATCTGAACATCAATCAAGGCTGTGTATTTTATAAACTCATTCTCAGATCCTTCCCTAACCACTTTAAGCCAGATTCAATCTATGCCCATTATCCCATGACAATCCCCAGCGAGAACAAGAAAATATTTGCAGGATTGGGCAGAGAATCCCATTTCTCATGGGAAAAGCCGGCCTTCATTCCCCCCCGTGTCAACTTGACATCATATCTTGGGGCTAAGACCATTCTAGATAATGCGAAAGATTTTCGAGTAACGTGGGGTGAAGCCACTGGCTTCTTATTCGGTACAGGAGGGTTAAACTTCATGCTTTCTGGAGATTCTCCCAAACATGCGAAGCAAAGACAACTGATGGGTAAAGCGCTTTACCATGATGAATGGAAGAAACAGGTGAAGCAATTTTATGAGGATATCACTATTAAGCTCCTAAGGCAGAAATCCTACAAGGTTGCAGGAGTGAACCAGGTTGATATCACCAGAGAGTGAGTCCACAACCGGAAGATATCATTTTCCCGAGCTAACCATGCCTACAGTGTTGGTAATCTTGCACATGTCCATTTCGCCTCGAATATCTTCTCCCTTCCGCTGAAAACTGAAAAGAATCCTAGAGGTATATACACCGAGCATGAAATGTTCATGGTTATGTGTGTCGTTTTCACATGTATCTTCTTTGATCTTGATCCCGCAAAGTCTTTCCCTCTCCGGCAAGCAGCCCGAGTAGTTGCGCAACAATTAGGGAAAATTGTCGAAGGGTATGTCAAGAGTGTGAAAGTTACTAGCATAATTTCCGGAATTGTGGATCGGTTCCGGAAGAATGAGACTGCACTGAAGGACTACGGGATTCACATGATTCGAAGGTTGCTAGCAAGTGGCCAGAGTGTATCTGAGGTAACTTGGTCCCAAGTTATGCCAACTGCTGGAGCAATGGTTCCGAACCAGGCACAAGTGGTAAGTGTCTACAGCTGTCCAGCTTTCATGCCCAGATCTCAAAATAAAAGCTCACCTTTTCTATCTTTGGGTTACCTAGTTCACTCAAATAATAGACTACTACCTTTCTGAAGAAGGGCGCATCCACCTTCCGGACATTCAGCGCCTTGCTCATCAAGACACCCCGGAATCTGATGACAAGCTCCTTCACTACTGCATGGAGGCCATCCGTTTAAATGGCACGTTCGGCTCATATCGAGAAGCCACAACTGCGATGGAAATTGATGACGATGGTCGACATGTCTCAATAAAGCCGGGCGATAAAGTTTTCGTGAGCTTCGTTTCGGCGAACCGGGACCCAGATATTTTCCCAAATCCAAATGAAGTTCGCCTTGACAGACCGTTAGACTCCTACATTCACTACGGTGAAGGGCCCCATACTTGTTTGGGTAGAGATGCAAACATGGTGGCTCTCACCTCCATGCTTCGTGTGATCGGAAAACTGAAGAACTTGCGTCGAGCGCCAGGCCCTCAAGGGGAACTAAAGAAGGTCCCTCGACCAGGTGGATTCTACATTTACATGCGTGAGGATCATGGCAGTTATTTTGTATTCCCGATGAGTAAGTTCCCTATATTGAGTGAACGGCATGTATGTTTGCGCTAACGAATTACAGCCTTCAAAGTGCACTTTGATGGAGAGCTACCTGAGCCACACAGCAGGCCAGCTTAAATAGCCTTTCCAATCCTACCCTCAGCAATAGCACTCATTTCTCGGCTCCTATATACTCCCTTCAATTTTTGGCTTTTTATGTATAGTTGTCTTTTGCATGATGGGTTCGGGTTACGTTGAATACCACATGCGCTATCAAATATATATAATAATAATCGATAACTGTTCTCCCTACTCCCAACAGGCTCTTGAGACGGTTTTAAAACATGCTTGACAATACATCAAGTAACAGCACAATATGGAGGCTCTTTGTGTTTATTGGCGCCGCCGCCCTTCTAAATATATGCCATATTTTGTCCAAGCACCGAGACCTTCATTTCAAGTATACAAAGCATTTATAGGGAACAACCGGAACAGACCTTTGACAGTGAGAATCATGCTCTTCCACCTGCAGCATATGTTGATGTTTTCCAGCTGGAAGCTCGACAAGGCCGTGAAGAACAGAAATTCCCTCTCCAGCTGAGAAACTTGACAGTCTCTCCACCCGGCTGCAGGCATGGGAAGATGGTGGCATCGGCTGGGTATTTCCAATCGATCACCAACGCTAGGCATAACGTCGTGATATTTGCATATAACAGGCTCTTGTTAGGCTGCGGAGGAATAAATGCGGTTGTAAAGGTAGATTGGTGGCTAAATCTCTCACCAACCCCAAAGCATGGTTCCTATCCGCTGCCACTCTGCGGACATGCGATGCTAGTATCTCCGAAAATCATTATCCTTCGTCTCCATCAACATTGTTGCATGCGGCGTACCCGAGATGACAACCTCCTCACCCGGAAAAATACCCGTGTTTTCCCATTGCTCTGGGAGCAGATAGTACATTTTATTCCTGTTTTATTGGTCTGTGAGAACCAACATTAAGTTCCTACTAACAGTTCAAAGCAAAAGAAACCAATTCACTCTTGAGACAGTATGTTTGAAATGAATTTTTGTGTTTTTTCTCGTCTTTTTCTAGGCGAGTGGACTAGATAGGAATGAGCCAAACCACAGGTTGAATTCTAATTCTTGTACTTGTTCAACACAAAGGTGTAAAAAATAATATACAAATGAAAAGTGCTGTGCAAAAGGTAATAAAAGGGGGACTGAAATTAATATAAATACTGCAGACCATGCACCTGAGCTTTTAACTAACTTAACAACCAAGCATATATGGAGTACCCTGTATAATTCTGTACTGTACGGAGTACGGAGTATGGAGTATTCCGTATTGGTTACGAGTTGAGCTGGACAGGTCCTGAAACTCAACTCGATCTTGGCACGTTTCTTCCCGGCCAACAACCGACAACTTTAAAAATAGTTACCGCGTCCTCGATACGAAGTACTCCATTCGCCGTGGAGGGTAAATAATATCTGTCAGCGTCTGCGTCGACTCGCAGCAACTCACGCCCACTCTTCCCATTACTTTAGATTGCTAGCGATTTGAATGCACTCGCCATGGCCCCCAAAGCCATCAGGGGTGAATACATAGAAACTGTGCGTTATATTCCGTTCTGTCACGCCGTTCAACCACGGAACGCTTCGGGTGCTATATCGAAGCTGATCAAATATACCCTCCATAGGATACTGGTAACAAGGTCTCCCGTCGCAACCAAGTCCACGGCACGCAACACATCATTCTTGGAGGCAAAACCGTCATCCAAGCCGACGTCTGCATACGCGGTGACCTCTACCGTCAACAACCACCAACACCCTCTTCTCCCAGCACCGCCACCAGCGGCGGTTCCGGTAGCAACCCAAACACACCATCTATCGCTGTCAGCATCGGACGCTATACCTACCTCTCGCGCTCCTGTCTGCTACGACCACCCTCTCGCCTCCATCGAGGCGTGCACTCATACTACCCTCTCAAGATCGGAGACCACGTGTTCGTCGGAGAGCGTAGCGTGATCGAAGCAGCTACAATTGGAAACCATGTGCACGTCGGAAAGGATGCTGTGGTGGGCTGCATGGCAATTCTAAAGGATTTCGTGGTAGTCCTTGACGGCGCGGTGGTCCCGGCTGGAATGGTGGTGCCGAGCTTCTGCGTGGTCGGTGGAGCGCCAGCGAGGGTTGTCGGTGAAGTAGGTGAGGGCTTTGGTATTGAGGGTGCCGAGGGGGGCATGGCAAGAGAGAGGTACCGGATGGTTGGGCGGTAAGAAGCTTTGACATTGTGGATTTCCGGAGTATGGTCAATTGAATTTATGATACCCCTTATGCTGTCTGGCTGGAGTTGTGATTTGGACAATATGTTTAACTGTGATAATACATGAACAGTTTGCCTCAGGCAGTATTTGTGCAGTCCTTGATTTTGTCCCACTAGGTGTGTGTCTTTCTCTTCTGTTTTTTAAAAAGGAAATGAAGAAAACCCTGTGTCAGGAGGGTATATTACAAAATAATAGAGAGGATATAAGGTCAGGAAGTTTATAGAACCAATACACCAGAACAAGAAGGGATATCATCTAACATGAAGGATTCCTTGCAAAGAGCAAAAGAAATCAGTGAAACAAGGCTGCAAATCATAAGGCTTCCAGGGAAAACTCAAAAGTGCATATGCATATGTCACATCAGCCATCATTATTACGAAATAGCCCAACATGAACAAGAGTAAAAAAACAAAAAGGAAAGAAAGAAAGAAAGAAAAAAGAAAATAGAGTCGGAAGGGCGTAGCGTGGGCATGTTCATCCTGTAAAGCCGAGTGTTAGAAAAGGGAAAGCAGACGATCAATTGCGCAGTGAGGGACGGGGATCTGGTGAGCTGGCGGAGTTATTATTTACCCTGTCTCTGCTGCTGGCTCTTGACATTGTTGGAGAGCCAAGCCTGGATGCCAGCGGTCAGCAAATGCATATTTTCCACGAGTCCAGCAGTTCTCTTACCAATCCCTCAAACAAGCCTTCGCCGGTTGTTGCGCAACTCGGCACGACGAACCATATCCTGTCTTTAAGTTGGTTCAACTGGAGTTTCTCGGTCACTTCCTTTGGATCCATGGCTTCGGAACATATCAGCATCACTCCAAAACAGCCACAGAGGCTCAGGAGGATAGAGTCGGCTTACCGCCCTTGATGTCCTGCTTATTGGCAAAGACCAAAAGAAGAGCTTCTTTCATTTCACGGTCCAGAATGATTCGATGCAACTCCTGGCGGGCCTCCTCTATGCGGCTGCGATCGTTTGAATCAATCACAAAGATAAGTCCCTGGGTTCCGGTGAAATAGTGTCTCCACAGTGGCCTGATCTTGTCCTGGCCGCCAACGTCCCAGACGTTGAATTTGACATTCTTGTAGGTCACGGACTCGACGTTGAAGCCGACGGTGGGGATCGCGGTGACGTCCTGATTGAGTTTGAGTTTGTAGAGGATGGCTATTGCAAAAGTGTTAGTCTTCAGCCGGCGCGAGACAGATCAGAAGAGGCAGGCTCACTCGTCTTTCCGGCGGCATCGAGACCCAGCATGAGGAGTCGCATCTCCTTTGATCCGAAGATCTTTCCCATCAGTTTTGAGACCTGGCCTCCCATCTTGACGGCGAATCTCCGCCAACAATGAAAGATACACAATATTACCAATAGGGCGACCAAGACTGGAAAAGTACAGTCGAGACTGGGGGGAGGCGCGGCGACGCGAGACTCGGTTGGCGGGGTTTTTAGGGGCAGGTGTCAGGACCGGGACGGGATGGTTGTGTATTTATTAGAGTCGTTATTCAGCGACACAGGCGGACTGGGAATCAATCAGCAAAACAAGCTTATATCGCGAACGTCCAGCGTACAGAGAAAGTACTTTACGAATTAGTAATGTACAGAACAAGCAGGGCACCGGGCTTACCTCTGTGATCAAATATCAATGCCAACTTCAACGATCGGCTCGCGGGCAATGCGGTTGCGGTGCACGATGCGGGATTGGCTTTTAGTCTTCTCTCTTATATCCTCAGTCTTGGGTCTTCCGTTTTCAGTCTTGACCTCTTCTTCGGTCTGTGTTTGTTAGTTCCCTGTGCCGCTCTCTCCTGTTTCGGGCGGCGTCCGTTTGCTTTTCCCAAAAACAGTCAGGCACCCCCACACGTGACTGAAAAAGGGGGGAAACATGCTGACTCATCCAAGGCATCCAATCAGAAGCATCACTCGGTCCCGCTGCGTGTGGAAACCGAATGGCCAATCAAAGCACGCTGCTGTCTTATCATGGCAGGCGGAATCTTGGTGCGCGATCGCGCCAAGAGCCTCTCATTCTCTCTCTCTCTAGATAATATATCTCCCCGGCCTTTAGAGGATATGGAGCAGTCAATATATCATTTAAGGCATTCTATCGGAGTAGTTACGGCTGTCCTGGCCAAAGGCTATCTGCTACCCGTCTCACCAGCTTGAGCTTGTTAACCATATCACCCCTATCAACGGCATTTCCGGAGCTGTGGCTGGCAAACCCACACTGTGGGCTCAGTCCCAGTCGGTCCAACGCCTCTTCCACCGACTCGCCGCTCCCCCTGGCCATAAACTCCGCTGCCTTTAACACTCGTCTTCTCATCTCCGCTTCTTCCTCCAGCTCAGGGAACTTGCTGGTTATCACCCCAACAATGACATTCTTACCCTTGGGCACATGCACCAAGGGCTCAAACCCCCCAGCCCGTGGAGTGTCGTACTCCAGATAGTACGTGTCCACGTTGAGCTTTTTAAACAGCCTCGTCGCGATTCTGTCATATCCCCCTTCCGAAAAGTGGCGGCTGTTGACGAAGTTGCCCCTACATATGTGAAGACCCACGTGCATGTCTGCCGGCCTCTTGCTTAGGCAGTCGTTGTAAAGCTCAATATAGGCATCCAACAGCTCGTCCGCACTGCCTTTGTTCAGTGGGTCTGCTTTCCATCCTGCAAGCATGCTCTCACTGCAGAAATCTACCCCTCCCAGAATGTCAATCTTCGGAGCGTAACTGCCAACCATTCGAGAGGAAACACTTACACGCGAGGTTAGGATCATCGATCTGCACATTCCTTAGCCCTGCGTCGTACAGAAGCTGCAGTTCCGTTTGATACGCTTTGGCCACGTCTGCGAAGAACTCGTCGTCGGACGGATACACATGCTTTGGATATGCACGACCCTCCTTGTATCGTAGATGATACCAATTTGGCGCCGGCAAGGTAAGCTTGAGGCTCTTAACGTCGTCGGCTGGGACAAGGCTTTTGAGGTAGTCCAGCTCCTTCAAATATGTGCTCCCCACATGTTTGATCTTACCAGTGCAAATAACACTCTCTCCTGGCCTGTACCCTTTTTCCGTGAACGCAGCGACATCAGGAAGATAGGGGCGAAAAGTTTCAGGCTCAGGATTTTTCAGCTCCGTCATCCCTTCGAGGCCAGGCCAAAACGATCCCCAAAACACTATGGCACCGATTAGTTTTTGCACCTCAATATCTTTTTGATTCTCCTTTTTTTGATTTATTTTTCCCCTGTCAAAGGAAGGTAGACATACTATGTCGCCGATATTCGCCATCTGTAATGCCGTGAAACCCCAATTTCCGCTGGAGATCGACAATTTCTCTGATGTCGCGATCTTCCAGTGGCTCCAGTTCTGCTGCTGATGCTGTCCCTTTGTCAACGGCTGCTCGCTTTTGAAGCAACTCATCAGTCCTAAGCAGGGAGCCTAGGTGTTCTGCCCGGAAGGGCGGGTTTCGAGAAGCCTTAACATCCATGGTTTTTTCCAATTTTTGTCATTAGGTAGGCGAAATGTTTACGGTAAGGGGGGAATCTGGATTTCAGTCACACAAGATCAACACTTTGAAAACAGACAAGAAAACAAAGACACAGACAGGCAACTCCCCACATTTATATGCGGCGTATTACTACTGTCTAGACCCGGCAAATGTCAAACCTATCCTGCCGACAATACTTAGTTGCCATTCTCTTTGTTAAGAGAACCCACGGGACAACTCTCCCGGTGACGAACTGCCTGTGCACTTCCACATAGGCTCCCATGAAGCCCCAATTTTTGGAGCCGAGATATTTTCATAGCTCCAATCAGCTAGAATCGGCTATCCTATAGCCGAGCATCGTTCTCTAATACTCATCTCTGTTAGATGACTGGGCACTCCCCACCGTCATGACATGAAGACAATGGACTGGGCCTCCGAGACGGAGATGGATGATAAGAGCCCGCCCATCCGACCCATCTTATCAAGATATGACTAAAGGGCAATTCCGTGCTGCTTTGCAATGGAAGGAAAGACTCTTTCCCCGCATTGTCATGATTCTGGGCCCCTAAACCATAGTAGAATGTTGATATGGAGAAAAGTATGTACTATGTGTGGGTGGGCTGTGGGGGAGGGAAAAAGCTTCTTCCACTGCCCAATCCTGTGAAATAAGTGGGCGAGTAGGATTTTCTCCTGGTAGTATGGAGTCCAATGCAGTAAATTATTGTATGAATTACCTGGAGAGCATGTGCAGTTATGGAGTAAGTCGCTCATTCAACAAGTCGATATGGAATACTCCGTACAGAGTACTCCGTAGTGCTGGTTGGTTGGCTCGTTCACGTTGGACGAGAAACAGGATGATTCATCTCAACTCCACTGAGACAAGAACCCTGACACACTTCTCAACCCTCTGTGCCCACACGCCATGGAGCAACCGCCGCAGGCCAGCCTCCTTTCTTTGCCAAATGAACTCCTCGATCATGTCATTTCATTTCTCTCTTCCGACACCTCTCCATCCCTGCGGAACTTTCGCGAAATCCCTGACCACAACATCTCTGCCTCCCCCGCCCGGGACCTAAAGGCGGTTTCTCGCACGACATCCCGACTCCGCCCATTAGCAAGGCCATATCTCTTCTCTTACTCTCGCTATGAACTTCGCGATCAGGATCGATTCTTATCATTTATCCGGCAATACAGCTTGGGACGCCATGTACGCTCGCTGGTCATCTCGGTGCGCTCCATTTTCCCAGGCAGCGAGAAGCCGTTCTGGTGGAAACAGCTGCTGGCCGAACTCGACCCGGAGATTATCACGTTGATAGCACCCCCGTTCTTCCTCGCAGATATCGCTCAGGCTAGTTTAGAAGGGACACATACATGGGCGTTTGACGTGTCTCTCCAAACTATGCACTTCCAGCAGCCGCGACGCGACCGAACCCTGCACGGAGGCAGCCTGGAATCCACCGCATCTCCGCCAGAACCAGATAAGGCGGAAATGGGCGTAGACGATGTCGGAAGATCAGATTCTTTCTTTACCGCGCGCCCATGGACAGAAATTCTTTTCAATGAAGGCTCCTCTATCAAGGCGTACCGTAACGAAAAGTACTATTTTCTTCATCTCCCATCTCTCATGGACCACTGGGGTTCGGTCGATCCGCTCCAAAATGCCATATTACCATATCCAGTATCGGTCATATCCCGTCTAACATCATTCCAATATACGTCCCTCTTCCCCTTCTACAACCACACGGACCTGGTTCTGAAGGTAATCCGCAACATGACAAACCTCCGGTACCTAAGCTTCCAACTGGCGCCATCTCCGAAAAACCTCCATAAAACTTTTTCAGAGGAGCAGAAACTGGGTAGCCTGGATCCTAAGGAGCCATGGATGGAGCTTGATAGGAGTTATCGGTTGATATCACATTCTGTGAGATATCTGGCGGTGCAAGGGAAGCTTGAACAGTTCCGCACATGGGATTTTGAATTGGAAACACTGAGAGAGAGCATCGTGGCAAAGATAGATGGTCGACTGCGCAGCAAGTGGAAGCACGACGGCACAGGGTTGTGGATCAAGAATATTTCTTCACAGGAGAACTCTGTGGTCTCAAACTCCGATAGCGACTAACCAAGGAAGCTGGGGAACTTTAACTGCCATTGTTGGGTTTCTAATTACATTGAGGTTTTACTGCTGTGAGTTACGACTTCGCTCTGGTTAGCGACACTTGGCAGCATACTATGTTTGATTTAGATGAGCATGAGATCTGGCATCTTCATGGTATAGGCGTAATACCAATCCCTTTCCGTGGACTTCATGGCAGTAGAAAATTATCAGATGAAAACATCCATCACCTACTATACCCTTTAAAACCATTGCACTTCATCATTAACCCCATACCATTGAACATGTCATCGAACCAGAATTGAAAAATTCCCACATTCACGCCCATGAGGATATAAAGCTGCACTCAACTCCAAAAGTGAAACAAAGGAATATCATGCCTGACTTATGCCCCAACAGTACCCTCTCTTGATGTTCCTCTATGATCAGTAGCCCTCCTTTGACTGTGAGTTTTGGGTTTAGAGAGCATATATCTATACATCAATCATTAGCTTCGTTTGCTGCAATAAGGGGAAATATAATCCCGGGAAAACCATACTTTGCAAATGCTCTCGAAAGTGCTTTCTTACAGCTAATTTTTTGGCTGCTGACGAAAGACTCGATGGCTACAGCAATAGCGCGATCAATGTCCGCCGATGTACAGTATTCCGCGAGCCGCATTTTGGCAAACGCCTCTGCAATACGCATGATGGATTCAAGATGTCGGACCTAGTCACGCTTATCAGCCTCTCTCCAGAGCATGATGATGATGATATGAATAGTTCCTACCGTTATTGGATAAGCTCCAGTGGCCAAACTCTCCTTTCGCATATCTGCAAAAACATCCGCAACTTTTCCCTGATCGATTTGGTACAGCTTGGGCCGACATTCCCGTCTGGCGTAAACAATGTACTTTCTCAACAAGTCTTGTGGGATCGGCTGAGGCTTCGTTCGGTCGTCATCTTCCTCATCCATACCAATTACACCATCTTCATCACGGATAACGTCTCCCTGGGAGTCCCGCAAAGGGTTGGATTTATAATGCGAGTTCATAACGAATTTTGCGAGTCGCTCGTCCTCGGTGTGATAGACGGTATCACGAACGACACAAAGAATATCGAAACGAGAAAGGATGGGTTCTGTGAGCTCGACGTTCTGAGAAAAAGGGATGGTGCCCTTGTATCTACCCCCGATTGGATTGGCTGCTGCGACGATGGAACAACGGGCTTGAAGAGTTGTCACGATACCGCCTTTAGAAATCGAGATCGTCTGTTGCTCCATAGCTTCGTGAATAGAAGTTCTGTCCTGATCATTCATTTTGTCAAACTCGTCAATGAGACAGGTTCCGCGATCAGCGAGGACCAACGCGCCGCCTTCCAGGGTCCATTCACTGGTCATGGGGTCTCGTCGTACGTTTGCCGTAAGACCGACGGCACTGGCGCCTTGACCAGTTGCAAATACAGCCCGGTGTGCTGTCTTCTCGACGTACTTTAACATTTGGGACTTTGCAGTACCAGGATCACCAAGAAGGAGGACATTTATATCCCCACGAATATTCATCTTTCCTTGAGCTTCTTTACTAACTCCACCAAATAATGACAATGCGATTGCAGTCTTGATGTCTTCATGTCCATAAATACTCGGTGCCATCGAATTCACGATTCTCTCGATGATCTTCGGGTCCCGAGATAATTTTCGAATCTGATCCTCATCTTCTTCTGTAATATGGAAAGACGCAAGTTGGTCATGGGACTTCTTGATGTGGTTGGCTTCGATAATCGTACTAAAGACCGGCAGTCCAGTTTTGTTCGTCATCGGCAGGTCATACTGGTTCTTGTAAATTCCTGTGATCTCGACCTCGTCACCAGGCTTCGCTGCATCAATGAGATCCGCAAGCAAAATCACGTCTCGATGGCGCGGAAGGCGTCCTCCAGGGACGGATCCAGGTGATTCCTGAAGGGTTAGCTTCTGGTAGTTCCTATATTCAGTCTTCACGGAGTTGAGATTAAACGGGCCACGGCTTTGGCAATTCTGGCAATAGGTAATCTTCAGTTCAGAAGAAGAATCCTGCTGCTCAAATGGTCCAAGAGTCACGCCGCACTTAGTACAGTTGAACATAATGTACTTCAACTGAGGAAAGACTCCAGTTCTTCTAGTAACAACTCCGGTGACGCAAACAAGGCAGTTGAGATGGCTCTGTCGCAGCTGACGGAGACTGTATCTCACTGGGAGATCCGTAATCCGGACATGAATCTCACTATGAATACGCTGATAATCGGGGTAGTGCAGCAGAACAGCCTCCATGGCGACTGCATCAAAAATTCTGAGAACCTCAGCGGGGGCATTCGCAACAAAGAAGCCAATGATCGATTTCGCCTCGCTTAGATGTGGATATGAAATTTCTAGTGACTCGGAGTTATCTTCCCCCAGGTTTTTTACGGCAGTGCCATAAACAGAGAGGCCATCCTTATCTGTAAATTCCGTTAAGAAGGACTTGAATTCTCGATAGATTGCGCGGTGGACAGCCGGAGACGCGACCCAGTCGGTAACGTTGTCTGCTTTGATATCCGCCATATCCTCAAGTGTGAGCTCCTCATCCGGATTATCCATATCTATATCTGATCGAGCTTCGTCGTAGTTGTGTCTGGCCCTTCGAAGTTGGGACAGGTCAATCGCATCAAAATCATCCTCTTGCAAAAACGCTGCTGGCATTGTCCTTCTCCGGGCAAGTTCTTGATCGCGCCTGTTCAATCTAGCCTCGAGCCTTCTCCTCGTGGCCGCATCCAGTTCTTCGTGATCACCCTCATCGTCAATGCCGGCAGCTTCGTAGTTGTCATCCCCACGGAATTGATAGTCACGTTCAAATGAGTCGCCAAAAAGGTCGATCCCATCTTCATCTTCTGCCAACTCATCGACATCATCAATATCTCTAAATCCTGCCTCTTGGGCAATTTCATCATCATCTTCATCATCCATGGGTAGTAACGGGGGCGAAGATGGAGGGGCTGAGCACAGCTTTAGTAAGTTTCTCCGGGAAGTACCCAAACAGATTTTCTACTCACGGCTGGAGGGCGGGGGTGCTGAAGATACATCGTCGTCTCTCTCACGAGATCGTTTCCTTCTATTAAGAGGATTTGTGCCGCGATTGGCGGCCGAAATGCTCGGGGGCAACGGTGAACTGCGTGCAGGATGGTTAGCGGTGATATTATTGCGGCAATATTCAGCATCCATGGGTATCGAACCTCATTACAGCTTTTCCTCCACTTGATTGCAGGGACAGCGCAGGGATGAAAGGGAAAAATTAGAAGGTGAAGACTAACACGGTCTCCGTAAAATTTAAATTTTACAATGTGGCTTTTGAATAGAAACCGCTTGCACGAGTGATGCCAAATGGCTTGAAGAGTCGACTGTGTTGTCAGCGAATGCCTTTCAGGTTGTTACTGGCTCCCGAGCGTGGGATGCCAGCGAGCCACGACCACGACCACGACGCGTCGAGAAATCAATTAACGCGTTGCGTCACGATCTCCCCTCGGGCGCTAAACCCAAAGGGGATGCATGGATCAAACGGTGCAAACAGTCCATTAAGTCAAGCGTATCGCGTCGACTGCTGGCAGTTGTCGCAACCTGGTTTGGTCCGGGACGATTCTTTGCAGGAACAAAAAGCAAAAGGCCGTTGTTAAGATACAAAATCGAATTTAAGAAGATCTTTCACTTGCTCCTATAGTTACTCCGCGATGGATCAGTCCGTGCCCGCTGCAGTAGCTGACGCTGGCCCATCAGCTGAAAATCGGTCTCGGCGTGAGAGCTTCGCTTCTCAAAACTCTCACACTGCTGCAGAGTAAGTCACACCGTCCAACTGGGGGTGGGATTGATAATAATGGGTGTGCCGTTCTAGATTCATCAACGCACAGCTACAGCTTGAACTCGATGCTCGCGAGGCCCTTCCATATGTGAGAACTCCCTTCGTTGGCCGTCACCATTACCCATTCCGCGGGATATAACTAATTTAAAATAAGTCATTTGATTCATGTACTCGGCCCTTAGGTCCCTTGAGACAGAGCCTTTTTTCCTGCTTGACATGTAATCCCCCGCCCGCCGACTCGAACACTCCCTATAATCCAGCCGGCGTGTGCTACTCCTGTTCGATCTCTTGCCATGGAGAACACACGCTTGTGGAGCTATTCACCAAGCGCAACTTTGTCTGCGATTGTGGAACAACCCGTCTTCCACCAACATCGCCCTGCACGCTTCGGACTGATCCGAAAACCGGCGCTAAATCGGTGCATTCAGACGAACCCTCGTCGGAGAACAAATACAACCAGAATTTTCGGAATAGATTCTGCTGTTGTGCGGAGGTCTATGATCCTCACCGGGAGAAGGGAACGATGTTTCAGTGTCTCGGGCTAGGAAGCGTGGAAACTGGCGGCTGTGGCGAGGATTGGTATCACCCCGAGTGTCTCGTTGGGCTTCCTCGAAGTTGGAATGAAAAGAACCCGGAGGATCAAGCCAAAGACAAGGAAAAGGTTAACAATAACTCTGAAGAAAACGCCGACAACAGCGACCCGCCATTGCCACCCGGGTTTCCAGGCGAAGATGAGTTTGAGAGCTTCATCTGCTATAAGTGTTTAGATTCAAATGTATGGCTGAAACGCTATGCTGGCACTCCAGGATTTCTTCCGCCTGTCTATAAAAATCGATCCAACCCAGCCCAGGCAGACATTACCGTACTCACGCCAAATGCGCCTGCAAAGGACGATTCCGGCAGAAAACGTAAACTAGACATCGACCTTGACAGCGAGCCAGGATTAAAGCGCGCCAAGAGTGACTCTACGAATGAGGAACCTTTGAAAATTTCGACCCCTCCAGCTTTAGTCAGAGAAAAACATAACTCTCTTCCCCAAGATATCCCTTCTGGAACTTTTTCTCTCTTTGTCAAAGAGGATTTCCGTGACTACCTTTGCCATTGCGCCGCTTGCTTCCCTTCACTCATTCCCCATCCACAACTCCGCGAAGAAGAAGAGACCTACGAGCCACCTCTCTCAGAGCCGGGCGACGGCGCACAGGGAGCTCCTAGCGCTGGCAGCCAGCATACAGGCAGTTTACTTGAGCGCGGGGAGGCAGCACTAAGTAATCTCGACCGGGTTCGTGCAATTGAGGGTGTAATGGTTTATAATCACCTAAAAAACAAGGTCAAGGAGTTTCTGCAGCCATTTGCAGAGAGTGGCACACCAGTTGGGGCAGAGGATATCAAAGCCTATTTTGAGAAATTAAGAGGCGATGACGAAGCGATCAGAGAGGCGGGATCCAAGAGAAACGGATCATATGAGGACAACAATGATGAAGGCGACTCCAGGAGGGAGCAGAGCGGTATGTTCAGAATTCTTCCCCTAGACCCCCGCCTGTGGTTCCATTTGATTTTAATGAAACATGCACACTAGGGTACTAAAATGGGTGTACATTGTAATTTTGTGCTCCGAATAATGATCTTTATGACCAAATTGTTAACGAACTAACACTTAATTTAAAACCCGCTCAAGGAAAATAAGGGATACCACTAAATCAAATAATCCCAATCCGACTAGTCCCGACTCCCACTGTGTCCCCTTGCTTTAGCTGCCTGACGCCTTGCCCATATCCACCACTTATGGGACTATAAAGCTCATCGAAAGCATAGGCACTTTCCCAGTCTGAATCCCCATGGCTGTCGTCTCACACCGTGTCGACTAACAGTGATGCCCGTGCTAATATGCCGACCGCCAAAACGCTTAGAATAGAAGAACGGCATTTTCTGGTTGATATTTTTCTTTTTCCCTCTCGTTTGGCTAAGTTTTCTGTATTTTGGTTTTGTTGAGAACAATTGAAAGAACGAAGACGGGCTCCAAATTAGCGGATTTACTTCGCCAATCTCGCCTCTCGACCGCAAGAACGTCCGTTTCTCTCTGGACCCCCTGTGTGCATCGCGTTAGTAGAATGCGACAACGTGTCTTTGGTTACCATGTGGCTCATACTCTACCCCAGATGAAGCACGTAAATATGTCGTGAAGCGTGGAGGCTATTTGAATGGTGTGATCTATGGAGTATTCGAGTCCAATTCGGCTGACAACTCGCATAATAAAACAGAGGATCCTGGGCGCTCGCCATTCATTGCCATGACGTCGTTGCTCGTGACCTTGGTAACAGAAAACTAACTTCATGAGTTACATCAGTGGCGTCAAAGCACAGAAGGTTGCCCGCTTAGTTAACTAACTACTGTAGCTTCAAGAGGATCAGCAGCCTACAGTAGATCCCCGCTATAGCGAACTCCCCATACAACGAATTCCCCTATATAATGGACGAAGTCTCTTCCCAAATTTGAATCTCCCTACAAAATTTGTTAACCCCTGATAAACTGAAATTCGCTAACTATTTTAAATATTTTATAGGCAATTTGTTATAACAAGACCCAATACTGTGCCAAACTGCTATTCTAATTGAGTGAAAGCAGATTCTCCAGACTTACAAGCTGCAGCATTCAAGCCTCAGCAACAAGACTTTAAAGCAGTAATTTGAGCAACATTATAATGAAATCATTGCTCTATCCTCTGTCTCCAAGATTCCATCATCACATTATGATTATCTTGAGCAGACTGTCTGCTGCTCAGAGCAGAAGTGCTATCATCACAAGCACTGGCCTGAGCTTGAAACAGCTCTTTACATGTGGATTCAACAGATGAAAAATCACATCCCTATCTCAGAAGAGATGATTCAGCATAAAGCAGAGTTTTTTTAGAAGAATCTGTCAGTCTATAAAAACTGTGAAATACCCGCATTTAGTAATAATTAGCTTTACTGATTTCAGTCCTGCAAGTTTATCAAGAATTACATACAACATGAGAAAGCTGGAAGTGCTGTATTGGTGAAGTAAGAGATGAGAGATATAGAGCAGCTTCTTCAACAGTATAATTTCAAAAACATCTTCAACTATAATGAAACTGAGCTCTTTTAGAAGTTGATACCAGATCAAGAACTTTCTACACACTTAATGCCTGAACAAAGAAGGAAGAAGATATAAATCACTGTTTATATATGCTGTAATGCAGATGAATCAGAGAAACTGTCTATCTGATTTATTGATACAGCTAAACAATCATATACCTTCTTGTGAGGATCATACATGTGGATCAGCGTGACAATGAATCTATAGAAGGAATTGTACATAGAAAAGAGTATGTGAGGTAAAAGGTCTGGTATTGGCAGCTATATATGACTTGTAGACAAGATTGCCACTGGCTTCCAACAAGAGATTCACACAGTGGCAGTCTTTTATGTGTGCTTATAAGCATGTGACTTAGTGCCTTGTGAGGACACATGTACTTCCAACAGCTTGCAAGCCCAGGCCCTGGACTCTTGCAGATGTTGTTTGTCTGTATAAGAGGTTTGCAGGCAAATTCTTACAGATTCCCCCCTCTTGTAAGCCTTGATCCCTCAAGACAGCTGTCTTATTAAAAATCTTCATGAGTAGAAAAACAAAACCTCTTGGGAAAAATAAAAATTTCCTCATAAGAAAAAGAGTACAGCCTCACTAGAGATGTGATATCAACACAACTCTAATAACACAACACAACATAACAACACAACAGAGCTCAATAACACAACAATATGTAGAGAGTCTCTATTGTTCTCACTAGCTCCATGTCACTATTAGATAATGAGCACTAGCTTAAGAGAGAGCTTTCTCTTGCTTTCTCTTTCTCTTCTTTTCTTCTCTTCCTTCTCTAGCCTATATCACCATTATCAAGGTAAGTGAACCCTTCAAGCACTGCTTCGCATGGGAGGCAGGCTTGCAGAAGGTCTCTGATGTTTGGAAGAAAACTATGGCTACACCTCAACACTCTGCCTGTCTGGCTGTGAGGCCACAAGTTGGTGAGTTCACCCCTGGTTGTGCCTTTGCTTCGCATGATCATAAGGTTTCACCTTCACATGGGGTTTGGTTCGCGGAGATGCTGATGCTTGCTAGAAGCTGCTGGTTCACTCTCTTCCCCCCCCCTCTCCTGTGACTCCTCCCTTCTCTCCTTCCTCGGAAGGACCCCTCCCCCCCCCCCCCCTTTACAGAAGATATTGGGCCTTCAGTGAGTAGTCCTGAGAGGTTGGGAAGTGCTCCGCCTGCAAGAGAGCTCAGCAAGGCTATGGCAACATAGTCTTTGCAGAGTGCATCTCCGCGGGCTTGGGTCAAAAATGTAATAACTACCTATACTGTGGGCACCTTGCTTGCTCTTTCCAGCAGTGAGGTTATAGGTAGTTGTTACAGGTCTTCGCGGGAGAAGCTGGAGGCTCTTACATAGTCCTTAGCTTAGTTCTTTTTCTTGTTTTGAAATCAATTTGATTCAGTTCAGACTATGCCTTTTCTCTCCCTAACCCATTTTCTAGCTCTACTACCTCCATCCATCTCTTTCATGAACCAGGTCTTTGGCCTTCTGAACCTGCATTGTGATCTTCTTCACTTTGCACATGCCTTCCAAGACAACCTTTGCAAGTAGTTTCTTGGTTGCAACCTGAAGCTTTGTGGAGATGAGTTGTGTGTTCTCATCTTCTCCCTTCTCTCTCTGGTTGGGAGAAACTTGGGCTGTCAGTCCCAACTTTTCTGTGATCTCTTGCTTCTTCACAAGCATCACCCTCAGTTGGTTTGCAGTCTTGTAACTCTCTGTATCATCTAGACCAGCCTTCTTGACATAATCAGGTCTTTGTGAGAGTTCATCTGCTGGGTTCTTGGTTTCTTTCACATGGTCAACTGTGAACCAAAAGACTGTCAGTCTTTGTGTTCAGCAGACCTGTCTTCATGAGAGGTCTTGAGCAGTCTGGAAATAGCACAAGCTATCATGGTCTGTAAGAACTTGAACTGGTGTTTGCAAGCCTTTCAACCAGCAGCATTAATATTTAAATGACTCCACAATTGCAAGCAGTTCTTGATTATAAATGTCATAGTTCATCTCTGCAGGTTGCATCTTCCACAAATAAAACTTAACTGGAACTCAAATGCCATTCTTCATCAGTTGTAATAGAATACCATATACTGTGAAGCCAGATGCATCTGTTTTCAGTCTGGTCTTCCATTCCATATCAAAATGATGAAGCATAACAGCTTCCACAAACACTCTTTTCAGACCTATGAAGGCTTCACAATCTTTCTTAGTCATAAAAGTATTGACCTCTCTTCTCATCTCTCTTCATATACACCTGCTTAGCTTTGCTTCTCCTTTCTTTAGAAGAGCAGTCAGGCTGCAGGCTATCTTAGAGAATCTTGGGATGAAGTGCCTGTAAAAATTTGTGAATTCTAAGAAGATCTGGACCTCTTTCTTACTGGTTGGCTCTGGCCAGTCAAGAATAGTGTTCACATGGCTCTTCTCTATAAGAATACTCTCTGATGTTATGACATACTCAAGATAGTCAATCTCATAAGCATTGAACTTGCACTTTGCCAGCTTGTAATAAAGACCTGCATTCTTGAGTATCTTAAGTATCAATTTTACATGCTTCTCATGATCTTTCTCACAAGCTGAGTACATGACCACATCATCAAGATAGGCCACTGTGAACACATCCAGATATTTGCTAAGTGTCTTTATAATATATGATTGGAAGACTGCTGGTGCATTCATAAGTTTAAAAGACACTATCAAGTACTCAAATAGTCTCTATAAAGTCTGAAATGCAGTCTTTCACTCATTCTCTTTATAAATTCTCAATCTATAGTAGGCATTCTTGACATCCAACTGAGTAAATATTGCAGCTCCTGCAAGCTTATATAATACATCTTCAATCAGTGGTAGAGAATATCTATTCTTGACTGTTTTTGAATTCAGGTTGTAATAGTCCACACACATTCTTAGTCTGTCATTCTTCTTGGATGTGAACAGAATGAGTGCTTCTATGAATGACTTGAAAGAGCAGATGAATCCATAAATTAGTGTACTGCTCAGATATTTGTGAAGAGTCTCTTGTTCAGCTTGTGAAAGTCTGTATATTCTTTCAAATTCTGGCTGCTTTCCTGGCTCAAGATCTATGGCCAAATCATCTTTGTGGTGTGATGACAGCTTTCAAGCCCTCTTGTTGCTAAATACTTCTGTGAGTTCACAGTAGGCTTCTGGTATCTGGAGATCTAGATCTGCTGTCACCACCTGTTCTGATTTGTGGAGGGTCATCATGTAGATAGGCTTCCTCCCCTCCACTAGCTCTGAGAGGTTAACTGGTTTAACCTTCACAAGTGGATTGTGATATACAGTTTGGAACTCTAGCCTTAGTTCTCTGAAATACATCTTGGAATTGTGTTGCTGCAGCCAGCTCAAACCCACTAGCATCTCATCTTTTATGTTCACAACCATTACTTGTTCATGAAACAACTGCCAGTTTCCCTGAGAGTCACAGGCTTTAAAGAATATATTTGCAATCTCTTCTGTAAGAATGACATTC